CCACCATCACCATCACCATCATTACCATCTCATCCTCACTGTCATCATCACCATCATCACCATCACCACCATCATCACCATCATTGTCACCATCACCATCCTCACTGTTATCATCACCGTCATCCTCATCACCAACACATCCTCACTGTTATCACTGTCATCCTCTCACCACCATCACTGTTATTATCACCGCCATCCTCATCATCACCATCATAATCTTCATCATCACTGTCATCACCATCATCACAATCCTCATTATATATTATCCATCATCACATTATCTTCATCATCATCCCCATCATTATCACCACCATCACCATCACCATCACCATCACCATCATTATCTTCATCATTACCATCATCAACATCATCACCATCCTAATCAGCATCACCATCACCACTGTCATTATCACCATCATCACCGTCATCACTATCCTCACCATCACCATCATTATCTTCATCGCTGTCAACATCACCATCATCACCATCCTCCTCATTGTCATTGCTGTCACATCATTTGTGACATCCCAATATCATACCATCACTCGCAGTGTCTTCATTCATAGTATCAGCACCTTCAGTACTATGAAAAGAGTAGCCGAGGAACTTACATGCATAGCCCATGGACACAGATAACAATGTGGTGAGGGCCAGAGGGAGGGGAAGGCAGGGAAGGGGGGCCCAAGGGGGGGACATGGAGGACACCTGTAACGTCAACAATAAAAATAAAATTAACTTTAAAAAAGGAATAAAATCATATAAAGTAAGATTATGCATATTGAAAAGAAATAACATGGGTACAAGTGGAAGCTCCCCTCTCTGATTTATAGCTGCAGGTCTTTCCTTACACCCCTGAGTGGCATTTTTAGGGCGATCAGATTGAGCAGAGGTGAGGCCTTTCCCTCTTCACATCTCTGATGAGTGTACACCCGAGTCTGCAGTCCAGGACTGAGAAATTCGTATGCCCGTGCAGGTATGTCCAGTGCCGCCGTCTCTGGCCAGGCTAGTACAAGGGTAAACGGACTGGAGGAGGAGGGATGTATCAGCCATACAGCCCCCCAGACGAGGTGAGTGCCACCCTCTCCAAAGATGTGGATGGACACGCTGTGACCATGTTCTCTGGTGGACTGTCCTCAGATCTTAACTGACTGGAAAGATGCAGAAGGCAGATTGGCGCCGGGCACGGGGCTGCCATCTTGGTACTCTGTCAGGTGGAGACGTTTACCACCTAGATGCCCTCTGCTTCATCCCCCTGCTAAAGGAGAGACGCTCTGCACTGCCCTGTCCCTGCTCTGACCCCAGAAAGGGGCAGCTTTGAACCATCGAACAATCAGAATGAGGAACAGCCTTTTGCGTGGAATAATTTTGGGTTTATTTAAGAAAAAGGTACTGCATTCCCGTATTTTTCTATCCCCTGAGGACTGGGGAGCCCTAGTCACAGACTTGTCAGAGTTAGTCACCTGCCCCTTAGGCAGTGACTGAATAAAGCACAAGACACCCTGTGACATTGTTGCACACACCTCCCTGTATGCGTTTCCTTTGCTGCTGGAGCACAACCACGCATCTTCAGGGTTCAAACAACACAAACTCACACGCTTACCGTCCTGGAGGTCAGAACCCAACCTGTGGGTGAAGGCGGTTCCTTCTGGAGCCTCTGGGGGAGAACCCATGTCCTTGCCTTGGACAGCCTCCCGAGGTGCCCACAACCCTTGGGTCGCGGCCCCTTTCCCGCGCCCTGTGACCTCTGCCTCTGTCCTCACATCTGACTCCCGCCTTCCTGTCGCCCTCTGTGCACCCTCGTGGTTACATAGGCCACGTGGGGAGTCCAGGGTTAGCATCCCCTGCCCTAGTCCCTCCTTCCAGAAAGCCCCACCCTCACAGCGTCTGGGGGTTCCACGTGGATGACTTTGGGGGCTGTTGTTCTATCACACGCACCCCTCCCCCCCACTCCCTTGTCCAGTAACCTTCAAGAGTTGAGTCTTATTTTAGCTTTAATATAGGACTGTTTAGGCAGTGAATCTAAGAAGAAGAGAAAGCTGGGGGCTGGGCAGCCAGTGTGGGGGTCCTTAGCTCTGCTGTCTCATTTGGGGTTACGTGCATAAACCCTCGGAAGCCCTTTCTTCCTCCATCCATGAAATCGGGGTCTTTAAGGCTCACTTCACAGTGCGGTTGGGGGTTTCTAGATTCAGGTGGGAGGTTCTGTCAGCTGCCCGGGCTGCTGTTCCGAGCTGGAGGGGCAGGTGCCCGGGCTGCCTGCTCCGAGCTGGAGGGGCAGGTGCCCGGGCTGCCTGCTCCGAGCTGGAGGGGCAGGTGCCCGGGCTGCCTGCTCCGAGCTGGAGGGGCAGGTGCCCGGGGTTCGCCGGGGGCCTCGCGGATGCACGTGGGCCGCCGTGTTCCCCGAGGACGTGCTCCTTTCCCTGCGCGTTCATTCCTCTCGATGTGTGTATTTTCTCCGCGTCTGTCGCAGAACTGGCGTGCCGGCAGGAGGCTGTTGAGAACTGTGCGGAACGCATTTCTGGTTCCTCGGGGCTGGGGAACACGGTGACACCGAGCCGGGGGAGCCAGCCCCGCCCCAGCTCCGGAACGCGTGCAGCGGCGCCTTGGTCAAGGTTCGCCGTCACCTGCTAACGAAACGGAAATCACTACCAATAACCATTTGTGTCAGTCAAGGACATTACACTTTTATGAGTTCTGGTGAAAATATGGGAGAATTCCTGCGAAAATGGGGTTTTCTCCTTATATGTGGCTTTTGATGGATTAGGATTTCTGCAGACGTGGGACAGGGTTTTGCTGTGGCTTTTCAGCAGGACCCGGGCAGCAGTAGAAGTTTCACTGCAGTGAGAACAGCACTGCCAACCACACCGAGCCCTTAGCCTTTGCTGAGTTCACAGTGGGGCCCCTGCCCAGGGCCCCAGGTCTCCAGGTCCCCAGGTCTCCAGGTCCCCAGGTCCCCAGGTCCCCAGGGCCCCAGGGCCCCAGGTCCCCAGGTCCCCAGGTCCCCAGGTCCCCAGGTCCCCAGGTCTGCCAGTGCCGTTGTTTTAAGACACAAAACGCACACACGATCCTAGGAGGGGAGGTATCAGTATCCTCATCCGAAGACTGACGATGGAAGGGCGGGTCATTTGCTGGCCGTCAGCAGGTCTTCAGGGCAGAGGCGTTTCCCTGCCTGTCTGACTCGAGTTTTCGGACGTGAAGACCGGGGTGGCTGTGTGGGCCTGGATTCGGGCCTGCTGCCTGTCTCGGGGCTCAGCGAGGAGCTGACGACTGCGGTTAGGGTGCTGCGGTGCTGGGGATGTTCGGAGAAGGGCGTTGAAAGAGCACACGTGCTTGGACCTGGCTTTCCGGAAGAGGTCCCCCTGCGCGGAGACCCAGCTGTCGAGGGGAGGCGATGACACTGCACACAGGTGTGGGAGGAGTTGAGGTCTTACCTTCAGGGGGGTCAGGAGTGTGGGGTGCAGGGCAAGGTGAGGTGTTCTGGTGCTGGAGGGCCAACTGTGCTTGCTGGGGGAGTTGTCCCACGATACGACCGAGGAGAATTTTACAGACACACACAGGCTGGTCTGGCAGTGTGTGCAGGACGGATGGGCGAGGCATCGACCAGGCATTTGGAGATGAGTGTACGTGGACGGTGGCATCCTTTTGGGTGGAACCCCCTGGGAAGGAGGGACATCACCGTATCTCTGTATTTTTTTTTTTTTTTTTAATTAAGAGTGGGCTAATTGAATAATTTTTGGGACTCAGACATTTTCTAACATCTTTTTTTCACTGTGACAGTTCTTTATCCCATAATGTTTGAGCACAAGTATGATCTGAATGGAATGATATCACTGTTTTAGGGGCTCATCCGGGAAGGGTAGGAGCTGGTTTCTGTCGGGATAAGGATTTGGGATTTTAGAGATGTGTCAGGGGTTACCAGTTTTAAGGATCTCTTCTTCTTCTTCTTTTTTATCTTCACCTGAGGATATTTTTCCATTGATTTTTTTCTAGATAGAGTGGAAGGGAAGGAAGGAGGGAGGGAGAGAGAGAGAGAGAAACACCCACGCAAGAGAGACACATTGACTGATTGCCTCCGGCACAACCCCGACCAGGGCCGGGATCTAACTGCAACTGAGGTGTGTGCCCTTGACCAGAATCGAACCTGTGACTCTTTGGTCCGAGGGCCGACGCTCTAACTGCTGAGCCAGACTGTCTGGGCAAGGACCTCTTTTTAATGCTGGGCGTGTTTTTGCCTATTCGATTGTAACATAGTTCTTGGGCTTCATATCAACATTGGTTGTATGATTTCAAAACCAGTTTGGCTTCCTACATGTTTTCAGTTCATGTGTAATTGGTTCATAGTCAGGAAGACATCATCCAATGACCAAAAATCTATGAATGGAAATCTCAGATAGCGTATCAAGCGATCATTGAGATGCTGTTAGTGGTGTCCTCTCTTTTCTTGATATTATCAATATTATTCAGCCATAAAAAGAATGAAGTCCTTATACGAGGCACAGTGTGTGTGAACCTTGAAAACATGCTAAGGCAAAGAAGCCAGACACAAGAGGACGAAATCGTGTGTTTGCTTTTAATATGAGGTAGCCGGTTATCATGGTATCAGGGTTGGGTTCTCAGGGGCTGGGGGAGGGACAAATGGGGAGCAATTGCTCCATGGGTGTGGGGTTTCTGTTTGGAGGGATGGAAAGTTTTGGGAATTGATGGGTGACGGTACCACACCATTTGAATGTGATCACTGTCACTAAATTGCTACACTTAAAAATGCTCAGAAAGGCAAATTTTACATATATATGTTTTACCACACACACGAAAAGTCACTTCATGGTTGTCTGAGTAACTATGAATTTCTTCTGCTTAAATGACGACTCTTTGTATTTGTCTCTTGAAAGAAAAGGCTGCGTCTGTGGGTATCAGAGAGGATGACCCAGGCAAAGACAAGTGTATGTCACATCAGACACAAGCAGAAACAGCACTAACATGTCGCCCTCTTTCCGTCTCTGCAGCCTTTTATAACTACGACGCCAGGGGAGTGGATGAACTCTCGTTACAAATAGGAGACACCGTGCACATCTTAGAAACGTATGAAGGTGCGTATACAGTGTAGCGTCTGTGCCAGTGTTGTTTCGGGCGGTCAGCACACTTTCCCGGTACCCGGTAGGCAAAGCGTGTCCTGCTAAGAAAGCATGGACACTCATGTGCCTTTCTCACGTGACTGGTTTTCTTGCCTGGCGGATGCCTTTCTGGTGAGGACAGTAGTGAGGCTATCCGTTATTTATTTATTGCTTTTTAATTCTTATGGATTTTGTAGAGAGAGAGAAAGGGAGAGAGAGAGAGAAACATTAATGTGAAAGAGAAACATCGATCAGCCGCCTCCTGCACGCCCTCTACTGGGGATCAAGCCCACAACCTGGGCATGTGCCCTGACGGGGAATTGAACCAGGACCTCTCAGTCCATGGGATGATGCTCAGTTCACTGAGCCACACCCCACACCGGCTGGCAGGGCTATCCATTATTTAATGAAGGTTTTATTAAGATGAAATTTAAACTAAAAACTCCTTTATTACATTTATTGATTTTTTTTTTTTTTTTTTTTGAGAGAGAGAAGCATCAATTTGTTGTTCTACTTATTGATGCATTCATTGGTTGCTTCTTGTACGTGCCCTGACTGGAGATCGAATCCGTAACCTTAGTGGATCAGGACAGCGCTCTAACCAACTGAGCTATCTGGCCAGGGCAAAAATTCCTTTTTTGAACCTCTAAAATTTTCTGTTGAAAAAGCTGTTAGCATTAAAAAAAAACAGACAAACTCTCATTGGTTCCTCTTTTGCAAATGTTTATAAATCCTGAGGTTAATAACTGACCACTTGGAAAAAAATTTAAAAATACATTTAAGATGGTTTAGTATTTAAGTCGTTGTGAGGTGTGTGATGAGAATGGTGAGCTTTTATATTTTTATTTATTTATTTGTTTTAATTCTTACTCGAGGATATTTTCTATTTGTCTTCAGATAGAATGGAAGGGAGGGAGAGAGAGAGAAACATTGACTGGTTACCCCCTTCATGACCCCATCCAGGGTCAGGGACAAACCGCAATCGAGGTACATGCCCCTGGCCCGAATCGAACCCGTGACTCATTGGTCCAGAGCGCTGAGCCAAACGGGCCAGGGCGTGGTGAGCCATTTCAGGCTGTTGCTTAGATGCGAATAACATTCTCAGAGGAACCAGAATGGTCATTTCTTACTTCCTTTTCTGTTTTAAATCTGTGGCCCCATTTTCCTGGGAGTGAACAGAGATGGTCACGGCTGCGTGGGGGGTGGTCCAGGGAAGCAGTTGTTATAATTATCCAATAAATACACAGCTGCTGCCAGTGGTTTTCCAACGTCCTTGCTTTCCCAGGCGGTGGTCTCTCACGTGGAGGGTTTGCGGATTAGTTGAGCGGCCGCCTTTCCTCGGCACTGTGGTTGTCGCTGCACAGGAGGGAAGCAGCCTCAGGCTTGATGTCCACCTTCTTCAGATCTGCACGTTTCGTGAGAAGGAGGTTTAGCATCAGTGGTCTTATTTCCTGCTGGAAAGGGTGACTCCCGTATAGCATAGGAATGCAATAAGCTACGAAAATCGGTCATGTCAACAGCAGCATTGCTTTGGAATTGGGTTCAGCCAGCGCCGTGCACGTGGGCGGTGGGGGCGGACAGGAATGGCAGGCATCCTGTCGTAATCAGCACACTGCACTCAGGCTCAGTCCTGGAAATCCACTTTGCACCCGGCTCAGCGGCGCTCGCTTTAGGCACTGGGCAAGCTGCGGCTTGCGTCGGTGTCCTGGGGGACTCCTGAGACAGGCACAGACCTGGTCGCACACCCAAGCTCACGTTCCTTAGTTCCCAAGTGACTCACGCTGACTTAGAATTCCAGTCCCTGTGCCCCCTTGACCCTGCCGGAGTCCTGCTGGGAGGAAAAGGCTCCAGCCGTGTCTTCCTGGAAGCTGGTGTTAGCACCGCAGAAGCGGAGCCGACCCTTCGGGGGCTGAGTCCTGGGGACGGGCGCCTCCGTTTCTGCAGCGGACGCTCGGATTGCCTCGTCTGCTCTCAGTATATAGTAGCAGTGGCTGAGAGGACACCGAGAGGCATTAAGCAGAGGGTAAGGATCAGAACTCATCTCAGACACGTTCTTGATCTGAAGGGGAAAATGCTCTTACAGCTGTTTTATTTCTGCCCTGGGTCAGCTGAAGCGGACTCCCGGGCAATAAGCACTGGGCAGTGACGCCATCCCTGAATAGATCAATGTCCCTTGCGCCCCGTGTGTGGGGACGGCAGCTTCTTGTCCTTTGCGTCCTAAGAAGAATGTCCTTGTTCACGCAGAGGAGTCCTTAGGCTCGTCAGTGAGCCTGTTACACGTTTCGCTTAAAAACCAAACCCCAAAACTGGAGAGCAGACATCTGACTTTTTGGCCGGCACCCTGAGAAAGGACCCTTCTGAGAGCCATCTCCCAGGTTTCGTTTAAAATACTCCCTTCTTTGCGAAGGCTCTTTCATGTAAAATGAATTTCTCTATTTGGAAACTGTCCTTTGGCTCGAATTAGACCCGGTCAGGGACATGCGTATGGGACAATCATTTGGACTTGGGGGGACGTGGTGATTTTACTACCACTGAATAGAAATGGAATGTTTGTCTGCTCTTGTCTCTTGTTCCTTTTAAATTTTGTGGATTGTATTAGGGTTTGGTCTTTTCTACCCTGCACCCCACTTGTCCTCGACGAACATTTATTTCTGTTTTGTTAAATTGGATTTTCTTTTTTCGTTGTGGTCGCTCTCAGGATATGACTGAGATTGTTCCGGAGAGTGTACCTTTTCTAGAGGGTCACTCTTTACTTTAAATTTCAGACGACACGTTTGCCCTCCTGTGACGGTTAATTTCTCTGTCTCAGGCTCCTGACGGCTTGGGGCTTCGCACAAGGAAAAGGAAGGTCACATGTCCCTGTGGAGAGGGCAGAGCTGTCAGGGTCATGGAGAGCACACCTTGCTTTACACAGTGTCCAGGGTCAAGCTGACCCAAGATACAGATGTTTGTTAAGTGACACACTCGAGGCCACGGATATGCCCGGCCTGTGGCCCGTTCCTTCCCACAGGATCCCCAGGGGAAGGAGGGTGTGCCCGGGGCCACGGATATGCCCGGCCTGTGGCCCGTTCCCTCCCACAGGATCCCCAGGGGCAGGAGGCTATGCTCGAGGCCACGGATATGCCCGGCCTGTGGCCCGTTCCCTCCCACAGGATCCCCAGGGGCAGGAGGCTGTGCTCGAGGCCACGGATATGCCCGGCCTGTGGCCCGTTCCCTCCCACAGGATCCCCAGGGGCAGGAGGCTATGCTCGAGGCCACGGATATGCCCGGCCTGTGGCCCGTTCCCTCCCACAGGATCCCCAGGGGCAGGAGGCTGTGCCCGAGGCCACGGATATGCCCGGCCTGTGGCCCGTTCCTTCCCACAGAACCCCCAGGGGCAGGAGGCTGTGCCCGAGGCCACGGATATGCCCGGCCTGTGGCCCGTTCCTTCCCACAGGATCCCCAGGGGCGGAGGCTGTGCCCGAGGCCACGGATATGCCCGGCCTGTGGCCCGTTCCTTCCCACAGGATCTCCAGGGGCAGGAGGCTGTGCCCGAGCAGAGCACAGGCATCACACAAAGATTAGGAAGTTATTCTTTTGATTAAACCACAGTGTCTGCTGCAGCCAGGTTTGTGGTTGCCCCCTGATGTCCGAGGGAGCCCTCCAGTCTATGAGCTCCCGGAGGGCAGACGTTGGTCTGGTCTGGTAGACTTGCTCCGTCCAGGGTGGCGTCTGGCCATAGTGTGTGGGCTCAGTTGTTTGAATGAAGAGTGCATGCTTGAAGTCTTGGGGAGGAAACCGTAGGATTTTCAGTTGCTTAGCAAGCCCATCAAGAGAAAATGCTGGCCTGGCAGTTTGCACAGTGGTCAGAGCATCGGCTCCTAGGACCAAAGAATCCTGAGTTGGATTCAGGTCAAGGGCAGGTAACTCGGTTGCTGCTTGGTCCCTGGCCCTGGTTGGGGTCTTGTGGGAGGCAACCAGTTGATGTGTCTCTTGGTGCTTCCCAACCCCCCTTCTCTTTATTGATTTAGTGAGGAAGGGAGAGGGAGCGAGACAGAAACATCGATGAGAGAGAACATTGGCTGCCTCCTGCGTGCCCCCCACTGGGGATTTGGCCCACAACCTGGGCATGTGCCCTGACTTGGAATTGAACCAGTGCATGGGTCGATGCTCAACCACTGAGCCACACCAGCCGGACCAATGTGTCTCTATCTGAAGATAAATGGAAAAATATCCTCAGGTGAAGGTTAAAAGGAGAGAAACTGCCCTGTGCTAGCATAAGCAAAAGAAGAGCCCCCGCCCCAGGGCTCACTGCTTTCTCCCGCTTTGCATAGAGAACCCTGCTGCTGTGTTTGAAGTGGTGTTTTGTGCCTTGACGTGCTGCCTTGCATCTATTTTTCATGTGTGTAAACATGCTCCTAGCTCTCTGTGTCTGACCTGGTCCTTGGTGCTCTCTTCAAAGACGTACTCCTGCTGCCGCAGCACCTGGAGCCTGTGGCTTTCACCCCCCATGTTGTACTAACTGCCCTCCCGCTACGGGCCCCCCATGCCTGCCCTTCTGCCCCCCTGGATTGCGCAGCCTGGAGCATCCTGTGTCCCCCCACTGTGTGTGGATGGGGGTGTGGATGCTTTGGGGTGCATTCCCCGGAGGGGCTTGCTGGTCTCAGGGTGTAGGTAAGTAGGGTAAAAGTGTGGGTAAGTAGGGACGCCCCCCCCCCACTAATTGCCACAGTCTACAGTCTCACCTACAGTGCCCAGGGGTGGCCCATATCCCCTACTCTAAAATTGCGTAGCAATTGTGTTTTAAATGTGCGTTTCTCTGGTCACCGGGTTTGAGCATCTCTTCATACGTGTGTGAGTTCTTCAGGGTTCTTCTGTGCAGCGTTCATAAACTTTGTCTGCAGTTCACTTGGTTTGTTTTTCTCTGGTCACTTTTCAGTACTTTCTTGTATATTCTAGGACACGAACCCCTTGTCAGGTTCAGAAAAGAAAGGGCGTATCAATACTGAGAATGCAGCGAAGATGGTGACAGGAGAGGGGACAGAGAGCCCCTTATGCTGAGTAAATGTAGCTTTGAATCACCGACTTCATGGACCGTCCACTTTTTCTGTGTCTGTGTCCCCAAGCACTGTCCTCGACGGCACCCCCTCTGGACTGGCTCGGAGAAACCACTGACCTGGGCAGCCTGGCTCTGGGGAGAGGAACCCTGCTGTGCAGCTGCACCTAGACCTTGTGTGTCCGCACCGCCCCACGATCTGTTCAGCCCCCTTGTGCAGGCAGTGAAGTGGGTTCATCGGTCGCCCAGGTCTCAGCAAGTCCTTTGCGAAGCGCCTGGGAGCCTGCCCGTCCTGTTCTGATGCTTAGACAGCAGCACCTGCTCAGTCGTCCCCGAGGGCCTGGCTCATTTGAGCCCCGTGGCTTTCTGGGTCCCCACCTCCGGTTGTAAAGACGATCGCTTCTTGAGAGGGATCCTGCCCTGGCTGTGTTGTTTGCCCAGGTTCCGTTTCTGAGCGAATTCACACCCTGGTTTCTAAGGGCTGACCTGATGCTGCCGAAAAACCCGGTATCTGGCTGCTCTGGGAATCCACGCAGCTTGCACTTTCCACGTGGTCGTGACGATTCCTGGGCTGGTCTTGTTGCTCTTGTGGGGCGCAGTTGGAATTTGCCTTTGCGTCAGGTGTAGTTTCCCCGAGTGAGTGGCCCAGAGGGACTTCAGGGTGTGTGAGCTAAGGGAACGTCTGCTGGCGTCCTGCCGTGGTGGGGTGTTGGGAGGCTGGGGCCTGGCTGTGGACCCGCGGGTGTTGCAGGGACAGTGTCTGCCCTGGGCCTGAGGGGAGGTGCCCAGGCCGTGGTGCGGTCTGGCCCAACACGGAAGAGACTCTTCCACTTACCAGGAATTCGTGCCAACGGCTGACGTCTGTCTGCCTTCTGCGCCCACTGCTCGCTCCCTCCCCACGGCGGGGACGGGGACTCGCGTGTAGGCCAGAGTCCGAGGGTAGGTGGGCCCAGTTCCTGCACTGTTGCTTCCTGTCCCGGACTTTCGCCACAGAAATACTTTGTGAGTTTCGTGAGTTCCTGGTTGCTCCGGGGCCGGGCCCCTCAGTCCTGAAACGGGAGGAAGTCTGTTCTCCGTGGGATTTCTGCTGTGGGGCAGCTCTCGGTCTGAGGGTGCCGGTATTTGCACTTGGCAGTGACCCCGATCCAAATCAGATGGAGGGGGAGACAAGAGAATCATTCTCAGGGAGCCTGCAGTTGTGCTTGGTAACTTCCCGCTGACATCTCAAGGCCGGGGTTGCAGATGGAGGGGAAGGGGCTGGCGTCTGTCTGTTCAGGCCGCTGCCCAGGCCTCAGGCACAGCCTTGAGACGGTTTCTGCAAATCCCCGTAGTGTATCCCCCGGCGGAAGGATTACTCAGCTCCAGAGGCGAACTGACTGTACCCCGTGGACGTGTGGTGAGGACCCTCGGATGTCTCCTGGCACTAACTGTCTCAACTTTGTGTTTGTTTAGGGTGGTACAGAGGTTACACCTTAAGAAAAAAATCTAAGAAGGTAAGTCGTTCTTTTCATTAAATCCGGTGCACGTCCCTTCATACATCACCCCGTGAGAGGAAATCAATTCCTTCTCATCCGTGTCTGTGCATTTTCCTTCTCTCTCTCTCTCTGAGTTTAAACTCTATACGGGCCGACATGCGGACTGCCCTGAATTGTCCTCTTCTGAGCCACACGGCACAGGCATCGCGGCTGCGGTGACTGCGATCTGGGCTGTGACACGCTGGGACCAGTTGCCATGGGCGGTGGGACCCTCCTGTTCTGGTAGAATTTTCCATCCTATTGAAAGTACAGGATGTGCCACAGAATGTTCTGGGTACCTTGACTCCAGAAAACAACAGCAGCAACAGCAGAAGCCAGAAAACTGGTCAGGGCTGTCAACTCGACGCTGGCCTCGAGGGTCAAGGGTTTGCGCAGCTCCCGCGCGCTTCCTCCCCCCTGCTCAGCTGTTTTTGTACCACGTGGCCAGCTTGCAGAAGACAGCTTCTGCTTTCCAGGGCCCTGGGCATGGGTGGTGTCAGACTTTCTGAGGCTGAGACGTACAATTACACGTGGGTCCCTGTGGCGGACACGCCCCAGCGCAGCTCTGCCGTGGCTCCTCCGTGCTTAGCTCCCCAAACCTAATGACGGCTCTTCTGTTTCCGCCGCTCGCGAGTGCTGTGCTTTCTTTCCTAGCTGTGGTTGGGCTATCCATGTGATCTTACATGTGCTTCGATGTCTAATTATGCTGGACAGATGGTTCCTTCTCCCTCTGTTCCTTAACCTTGCCTCTCATTACCTCCCGATTGGGCTGGGCTCCTCTGGTGGCCCTGAGCCTGTAACTGTGTCCTCTGAAGCCCTTCAGGCAGGGACTTCCCACCCGCCCCGCCAGGCTCAGACTGGGCCTCAAGTCTCAACCTGTCCAGTGACCTGGAGCCTGGAGGTTTGAACGAGGTTAGGTTCAAACCAGCTGGATGGTGCACTGGAGGAGTCCAGGGGGCGCTGTGGTTCACAGCGACTGCCCTTCTGGAACAAAGTGTCCTCCTGCAGGTGCAGCCCGAGCGTGCTCTGAGATGAGGCTCACGGGCCACCATGGACCCTTGTCTTTGCTGCTTAGCCTCTCTCTCTGCCCCGCTCCTTCTCTCTCTGGGATAATTCTTTCTTTTTTTAAAAAATATGTTTTTATTACTTTTTTAGAGAGAGAGGAAGGGAAATGGAAACTTTCATGTGAGAGAGAAGCATCAATCAGCTGCCTCCTGCACGCCCCCTATTGGGGATCGAACCCGCAACCCTGCCATGTGCCCTGACCGGGAATCGAGCCGGGACCTCTCAGTCCTTGGGACGATGCTCAGTTCACTGCGCCACACTGGCCGGGCTGGGATAATTATGTGTATGAAATTCGAGGACATAGACAACAGTGCTGGGGGTGGGGGCAGGACAGGGAGGAGGGTGTCTGGGGAGAAAAAGGAGAAACATCTGTAACGAAAAATAAATTAATTAATTAAAAAAATAAAGAAAGAAAGAAGACATTTGACCGCTTTCCTGGTAGGCAGGAGGATCAGGGATCGTGGTCCCGTACCCTTCCCAAGCATGACAGCGCGTGTGCCGTCCGCATGGCCCGTGTCCGCCCTCTGGGGCCAGGTGCCAGGGAAACCTGGTCAGAAGCTCCTGCTCCCACGACAGGTGCACCGGAGCCCCAGCGCTACTGAACGGTTTAGCCGGCAAGCCCTCAGTTTCGCCCACCAATTTCTGTGCCTAGCACACAGCCCCTCTGTCTGGAGACCGTGCAGAGAGTCTCTGTGGGTCAGGCCCGTCGTCAATGAGAGGTGGCGATCAGTAGTGTAAACTGAACCTTCGGGGATCACTTTGGCGCGTTGAGATCAGGAACAGTCAGAGACCATCACCAACAACTGTGTGCAGGCGTCAGCTGGCTGTTGATCTGCTTATGTCCAGGGCCACAGTGAGAACGAGCTGCGGCCTGTGCAGGGGGCAGGGATTGCTCCTTTGCAGAAAATGTGCCTGTTCTTTCCGAAGACATCAGCAGCCTCTTTGAAACAGAAGCTGACTGAGGCACCATCCTTGAAACTTTCTTTCCTTTGCCGTGTTGTGTGTGATGCTTAGCTTAAGACTTGCAGAATGCTTAGAGATCCCGTGACTCCCACTTTTTGGGGGACAGTTGTTTGGCCATCAGTATTCATCTTGATAATAAAAACGGTCTTTTTTTCCTCTCCAAAGGGTATATTTCCTGCTTCATATATTCATCTCAAAGAAGCAATAGTCGAAGGAAAAGGGTGAGTCTGGGCTGCGTGTTTTGACGAAGGCAGGGCTGGGCCTCGCTGCCTTTCCCGTGATCGGGTCACAGGAGGGGGTTGGGCGGCGGGCGGGATTGGCCATGGTGACCAGAGTTTTGGGCGAGAAAGAGGGCTTTGGGGTTGGGCGCAACATGCCTTTGAGCTCTTGAAGGGTCTAAAGTCAGCTCCTTAACTGCAGCCATTGTCCTTGAACCTGATGTTGATTTTGGAAAGCATCCCGTGCCCTGTGCTTCCCTGGTGAGCTACCCCATGAGGCAGAGGCTGCGATACGCCCCCCACCCCCCAGCTCGGAATCCGTTTCTGGAAGGCTTTGGTCCACATGGAGTTTAGGCTGAACCACAGCTGTTACATTGGGTCATGTAAAGTTTACATTTTGTCCACTTGGGAGGTATGCTTCTTAGAGGTCATCGAGGTGCTGCATACGGTCATTAAAAGGACATCTGCAGGGCAGGAGCCCATGGGGCAAGGGTGGCATGAATGGCCAGGTGTGAGCTGGGAAGGAGGGACATTAAAATGTTTTCCTTGTTTCTCAGCTCCATCTCCACACTCTGTTAAATATGTAAGTTATAAAATTGCTAATCACAGGATTGACTGCATAATGACATCTCTTTGGCTGATTACAAAATTGCCTTTGCAAGTACTGCACTTGCAACGTGTGAAAAAGGCCAGCCTGAGTCTCTGGTTCTGTGACACCTCATTAAAGTGAAGGAAATAATTGGGAGGCAGAAATGTGATCACCTGGAGAGTAGTATTTTGTTGCTGTTGTTGTTAATCCTCATCTGAGGATATTTAGATAGGGAGGGAGGAGGAGAGAGAGAAACATTGATGTGAAGGAGACACATTGATGGGTTGCCTCCCAGATGACCCTCACCAGGGTCGGGGATCGGCCTGCGACCCAGGTGTGTGCCCTTGACTGGGAATCGAACTCATGACCCTTTGGTCTATGGGCTGATGCTCTAATCTATCCGCTGAGCCAAACCAGCCAGGGCTGTATGCAAACTTTTAAAGGGGAGATGAAAAAGCAAAGTTCTGAAAGTTTGCCCTGAGCTGGAAGATGATCGGCTACAGGACGCTTCTCATGTATTTTCCATCTGCCTCCGCCAGCATCGGAGTAACAGTCAGACTGTGGGATCATTTTTTCAAAACACACTTTGAGGAATACAAATATGTGGGAGATACAAGGATGAAGCATGATAGTAAAGTGAAGAAGAGGTTATTTGGATTCTCAGTAAATAGAGTCATACCCTCCCAGACAGAGCTGGGCACAGCCAGACACTTTCTGGTCTGTGGGTTTTTTTTTAATCCTCACCCGAGGACCTTTTGCATTTATCTTCAGATAGAGCAGGAGGGTGAGAGGGAGGAAGAGAGAGAGAAACATCGATGTGAGAGAGACACAACGACTGGTTGCCACCCACATGACCCCAACCAGGGCAGGGGACAAACTGCAACCGAGGTACGTGTCCTTAGTGGGAACCGAACCACTAAGAGACCCAGTGGGGTCTCTCTGGTCCGCGGGCCGACGCCCTAATGCTGAGCCAGACCGGCCAGGGTGACACACTGGTGTCCCCATTCATTCTCCCTGCGCCCTGCAGGATGCTCTGCCCCGCGCCTCCTCAGCGCCCCTGCTGCAGGCAGGGCTGGGTTTGTGTCTCGCCAGCCGTGCGGGCGACAGTGGCTACAGAGGTAGAACAACACAACCACATCACCTACGTTGGAGCCAGTGGACACATTCGTGCAAGGGACACATTGGACCTTTCAAAAGGGACAAGGTTGGGAGAGTGCAGACTGACACCAGGCGCGGCCTCAGCTCTGAGCCTCTGATGGCCGGTGGGAGGTGCCCACTGACTCTCGGGAACCTCAGGATCACCCCACAGTGGGGAGAGCTTCCCTCTGGAGGCCTGTGGGTGCCCTGCAGACTGATGCACCGTGTCTTCATCAGCATCCTTCCCGGGAAAGGGACACAGACGGGGCAGGGCTTTTTGTTTAGTCCTTACCCGAGGATATTTTTCCATTGATTTTTTTAGATGGAGTGGAAGGGAGGGAGGAAGGGAGGAAAAGAGAGAGAGATAGAGACAGAGGCATTGATTGATTGGTTGCCTCCCGCACGACCCTGGCCCGGGCTGGGGATCAAACCTGCCACCCAGGTATTTGCCCTTGACCGGGAATCAAACCCATGACCCTTTGGTTTACGGGACGACGCTCTAACTGGTGAGCCAAACCAGCTAGGGCTTGGCCGGGCTGTTTCAGTTATCACATCTTGTAATGGACACCAATGATGTCCCTTCAGAGGTTAGTTTCTAAAAGCCATTTTGTGGCGTGTGGTCTTGTCTCCATCCTGCCCTCAGACTTCTGGTCCCTGCTGCTCCAGCCGGTGCCGTGGCCAGACCTCTCTGCAGGCTGACTTTCTCGCAGGGTCTCCATGGCCTCCTCCTTTGGGAGCCCTCCACTGTCAGGAAGTCCCTGCAGGCCTGCACCCCAACTGTGAGCTAATGTCAGAGTCCTGCCCCCAGGTCTGGGCCCTGTGCCAATCGAGGTATGTAGGAGTGACCTGTTCAGTGTCCCTGAACATTTCATGCTGAGTGGACACTGAGTGTGTTCAGGACCTCGGCGCCCACGTGGGCCGACTACACAAGCCACAAGTTCAGTCTCTTCCGCAGTCCCCAGTATTGTGGGTCCTACGCAGCCCGTGTCCAACCCAGAGCATGTGACCAGAAAACAGTGGTCGACTTGATCAAGACCAAGGCTCACGTAGGTAGGACAAGTCACGGGTTAACCTGCTGTGGGGGAGAGAAGAGCAGGAGATAATCAGTGTGGGATCAGTCGGCGTGCCTGCGGCAGCGACTTCACTCCTAGTTCGTCACGGGTAACGGCTCTGGTATTATCGTGTAATGAGTTTTATGCACAATGGAAATGTAAAAACCGTCCTAATCCAAACTGCATTTTAATGCCACACAGATAGGTGGTAATTTATGGCATGTGTCACATGGATGGGTACCCATGTCATGAAGGTACTTCCTCTTCCCAGACTTGGACGTTCTGGAGTTTCATGGGGTGGTACGCGTCCCCTCCATCTGGGCTTGACGTCAGGGGTGGACGGCTTGCACACAGGCTGACGACAGTCGCAGGCTTTGTCCGAATACCACCTGTTGGTCTTGGAGAAGTACGCGTTCGTAGGTGCGGACACAGCCCTCTTCTGTATCTTCTCCCCGTTTGCTTATTGAACTCTGCGGCCTAGGTTTGGAACTGACGAGGTGCAACTTGCAGAGATCCAGAGCTGTGGACTTAGCTGTCCTCTCCTCCTGTCTTCCCAGGCAACATGAAACGGTCATCCCGGGCGACCTCCCGCTCATCCAGGAAGTCACCACGACGCTCCGAGAGTGGTCCACCATCTGGAGGCAGCTCTACGTGGTGAGGGACCGGGGTGGCGAAGCCCTGACCGTGGTTCTGGGCCTTTTCTGTCCAGGCGGATGCTTTGCCGTCCTCAGAACCTCAAACGCAGACTTGGGGCCGGGCGGTATGCAGAACGGGCAAAGAAAGTAACATGTCGTCGGTGTTCTGCTCAGCCACGGGGGGTCATGTGCTCTTTGACCTGGTCCATGTTGGGGACCAGCTGGGCTCTTGACAGTAAACGGGCCGCAAGGGACGGGGTTACGGGTCTCACCTTCCTCGTGTGCTTTGCTTTTGAAGACAGGATTCGGCAGTCAGCATTCATGTGGCCTCAAGGTTTGCGTTTCGATCTTGAAAACAAGAATCTGTTGTTTTTTGTTTTTTTTTTTATCCTCACCCGAGGACATTTTTTGTTCAGATAGAGAGGGAGGGAGAGAGAGGAAGAGAGAGAGAGAGAGAAACATCGACGTGAAGGGACACATCGAGTGGCTGCCACCCGCACGACCAACCAGGGCCGGGGACAAACTGCAACCGGGGTATGTGCCCTTAGCGGGAACCGAACCCGGGTCTCTCGGGACCGCAGGCCGACGCGCTAACCGTTGAGCCAAACCGGCCAGGGCCAAGAATCTGTTTTTAAACTGTAATATTGCAGGTGCTTATTTATGGATCGGGTAGAAGATGATTACTATTATTTATTTATGTATTTTTTGCCACTGTCTGCGGTAGGTAATGCTTCTTACCATTTAAGAAAGACCACACCGTCTTCGAGGTTTCAGCGTGTTCATCAGCGGTGGGGCATCGCTCCCATTCTGGCTTCATGAGCCGTTGCTCGTTTCTGCTGGTTGTGGAAGAAGCCTTATTAATACAGAGAGGCTGGGGCTGTGACATGTTCCATTTCCGGTCCCCACAGGGCGTTTCCTTGCACATAAATTCATATTTGCAGAAGATTACCTTTTGTTAGCCAGTATTTCTATCCGAGCTGTTGATTTCTTCTCATATGCTAATGTTGTCAGTGCAGAAGCTGGGTCTGGGCAGGGACTCAGTGCATTGGTTTCTCGGGAACACTGCAAACTTCCCGATGTCCTCCAGCTGCTCTCTGGGCTTGTTGTTTTCATTAGACAGCGGTTCCCTGTAAATGCACAGTAATGAGCAGTTGCAGTAATTGTTCATCAAATGTTCTCCAAAACCTAAAAGCGCCAAGTTAGCTCTAGATGTTTTGTGTAAATCTGAGCAGTTTTGTAGTCGGCGTTTCGTGTCCGACTTAGCAATTCTTAAACAAAAATATGGTCGCAAAACAAACAGGAATTGATGGGAAGAGGTTAGGGGACTCTGTTTTAGCCTTATTGCCCTGAAGCAGACATTCCTGATGACCCCTTTGGTCTTCTTTTGGAAATTTTACCTTGGCCTTTTATGGACTTGTATTGTTGGATTTGTACAAAGCCAAAGAGAAATGCTTATAATATTGTCTTCTGTGGTTTTTGTTACTATTTCTTTTGCTCTACTGTGTTGTTGTAGACAAGTTAGCAAAACATTAAGGATTTAAATTTTCTTTCTTTATTGATTTTAGAGAGAGAGGAAGAGAGAGGGAGAGAGAGATAGAAGCATTGATGAGAGAGAACATTGATTGGCTGCCTCTTGCATGCCCCCCATTGGGGATTTTGCTCACAACCTGGGCATGTGCCCTGAACCGGAATCAAACTAGTGACCTCTTGGTGCATGGGTCAGCGCTCAACCATTGAGCCACACCGGCCAGACAACATTGAGGATTTCAGATGTTTGATAAGGTTTTAGAAAAATGGACAAGGAGAATTAGTACAAGGGAAACAAACAATTTTTCAATAAACCATTCATTTTGACTGTTTTGTTTTCATTTAATAAATTAAAATCCCGATAATGCTCTAAGAATTGATGGGATATAAAATAGCCTGTTAGGGCATTATATGAAGAGTAGGTGATGGTGATCTTAGAAATTCTTCGAAAGAAGGTCAAATACTAGAAATGGGGGCGGGGGGTTGGCAGGTTTAGATATGTAGAGGAGACATTATTTTAACAAGTAGCAATGATCGCATTTTAATTTTCAATAATTTTTTTTTATCCTCACCCAAGGATATTTTTTCCATTTATCTTCAGATGGAATGGGGGGGGTGGTTAGAGAAAGAGAAACATTGATGCGAAAGAGACACATCAACTGATTGCCCTCCCCTCTGCATGACCCCGACCAGGGCCAGGGACCAAACTGCAACTGAGGCACGTGCCCTTGGCCAGAATCAAACCCGCGACTCTGTGGTCCCAGGGCCGATGTTCTAACCACTGACCCAAACTGTCCAGGGCTGCGTTTTACTTTTTTATAGGATCGTATGTTTAGAATTTTACCGACCCGGGTGCCACCCAGATTTCTTTTCACAGAAAGAGCCACGGAGTTGCTTTTCCTGGGCCTCAGCCCTCATTTCCTGGGTGAATTGTGCTCTTGCAGGCGCAGAACTGTTTCTTCCCCTCATACCAGCAATCCCTTTGACTAGGTGGAGAGTGGTCAGGATGGTGGATTTTGCATCTTTTTTTGTTTTCCTTTTGGCATAGACTCACCCAGAGCTTGTAGATTCAGATTTGGCTTCCTACCGGAGCCCGTGTGTGTGGGCAGGCGAGATCGTCAGGCTCGGGCTCATTCCGAAGGAGTGCCAGTGGTTGCCCATCGGGGGTCAGTGCCTCTAGTGGGGTGGCTCTGGGGCTCTCAGTCCACACCCTGCTCTGGTCAGCCTCTCGACTCAGCGGGGCGTAGTCTGCATGGCCGGATGGAATACTGGGGATCGTGCAGGACTTTTTAGCCTTTTGATGTTTTAGTGTCTGATAGGAGCCAGATTCCAGAGCGTGTGTCCCAGTTCCATGCTAAAAACATCTTCAGACTGGACGTACGTTGCATTCTACTGTATAGAGCACACGCTGCCTGCGTCCTGGGAGAAACAAACCCACATGCTGTTTATACCCAGAGCGCTAATGCTGGCTTCTCTGTCCCCTCCCTGCAGCAAGACAACAGGGAGATGTTCCGAAGCGTGCGGCACATGATCTACGACCTGATTGAGTGGCGGTCACAGATCCTTTCTGGGACGCTCCCGCAGGATGAGCTCAAGGAGCTGAAGAAGAAGGTCACCGCCAAAATCGATTATGGAAACAGGTGTGTTTATTTGAAAGATGACTTCATGCTTCAATAATTGGGTATACCAACATCCACAGAAACTTGAGGAGGCTAACATAATATCTTATCCTGAAACCAAACTTTTCACATGCAAATAAAGAGTGCCGTGGTTTTCCTTAAATTTTTAAAAATTGATTATTTAGAGAGAGAGAGGAAGGGGGGAGGAGAGAGAGTGAGAGAGAATATTGATTGGCTGCCTCCTGCACGCCCCCTACCGGGGATAGAGCCTGCAACCCAGCATGTGCCCTGACTGGGAATCGAACCGGGACCTCTCAGACCGTGGACGACACTCACTCTACTGAGTGACACTGGTTGGGCTAAAAGGATGAAGTATTTTCTATTGCATCCCAAAAGTTAGAGTTTTCTGAGTCATAGTAGAAACCTGTTCTTCTCTTCGTGCAGCTGGGGTTAGGGCAGGTGACTCACCCACAGGGAACCCCTACTTTCTGTGCAGTGTTTGATTTGGGGGTACTTGGTGCCGTAACAAGCACCCAATTTCTTCCTGGATCTCTAGGTTCTCAGAGCTGAAAGGGACGTCCAAACTCACCTTTAAACTTGTCACCATTGAGGGGATGCCAGACTTGGCAGACAGTGAGGAAGTCACTGTCTTCGTGATTGTGTCAGGCACAGGTCCCCGTCTGCAGCCAGCCTCCGCCCAGCTGCGCACGAATGCGCTCTGCGGTGTCGCGGTCACCTCCCCAGAGCTCCTGTGCTGGTCCCGGCCTCCCTCTCTGGTCTGGAAGGGAAACAGCTGCTCCAGCCGAGTTCTGCGGGGGCTGGAGCCAGACTGTTCCTTCCACGCTGGGTAACTGTGTGCTTGTTCAGAGCGGCAGGAAGGCTTAGGCGTGGTCGGGTCCCATGGTTCCCGCACACGGGTCCGTGTCATAGGCGCTGGGAGAGCTTTGGAAACGCAGACGCCTGGGAACCCCTGCTCAGGGTTCTGCTGTCTGCCGATTGGAGGTCTCGGCTTCTGAAAGTCGAGCTAAGCTGTGATGGACAGCAGATTGGGAGACGTCAGGGTTCATCCAACCCCCTCATGTGACATGAGGACGTACGCAGAGAGGAGAGTTTTGTCCCCAGCCATTCTGCCGAAGGGGCCTCTGGGTAAACTGGACAACCTTTCCGTAAAGTCAGAATTGGAATGTGATTCTGTTTTCTGCTAATTCCTACTTTCCAGGGAGAAAAGTTTCTCTTGATTGATTTATTTTATTTTTTTGAGAAAAGTTTCTAAAAGGCACGTGATTAGATAGGGGTAGTGTTTGGATTCGACTGCTGCAGAAGGTGTTTGTTTTGGGAAATTATCCCCCCAGAAATCCATGGATTCCGGGCAGTAGGGTGTTTGATATGGTCGCCGTGAAACCCTTTTCATAACTACCTGCCGGAAAGCACCACACTTTTGGAGCTTGGATTTTATTTTCTGTTCGAGCATTGCATTTGGAACCTGTGTGCAGAGCCCACCTGCTCGATCCGGCTGCCAAAGCACATTATGTGGTGGAACAGTCTAGTTGAGAGAGGAAGTATTTCCAAATGGAATTTACAACTTGCGTCGGAAGTGCGGTCCTTAGCAAGACAGGTTTTTGCCCGAGGAACTCAGGTGTGCTCCGTTATTTCTCTCTAGACTGGTGCCCTCCACGTATCTTTCTAGTCCCTTTTCCTAAAAAAAAAAACCACCAAAATAAAATCACAGTGTTGCAAGCTTGATTTTAAAATGGTTTCCGGGAGACATTTGAGCAAAGTCATTGGATTAATGTCAAGGACCACCTTTCTAGGAAAAGGCACACACCTAATACCCTCAGAGTTGTGCACGTAATTTCTGGGGTGTTTCCACCCCCCTTTCGTCGGAGGTCCTTTGGGCGGCCTTGGCCTTCGTCTCTGATGCCGTCAGGTGCTCTCGCTTGGCGCACACACGCCTTCTACCGGAGGCGCCTTCTACCGGAGGCGCCCTCTGCGTGGAGCTCTGAGCCGTGGCACGAGGAAGCCCCCTCCGGCCACTCCTGTGGTTGTTCGCGTGGCCTTCTGGACGGAGCCTGGGTTCGGCCATCAGAGGGTTCTGGCTCGGAATCCAGGCTCTGGGCTCTTCTCCATGTTTCTCTGAGTTCCCCTTGCCTCCTTTGCGAAGGGGGTCTGATCATCTCTCTTGGCAGGACCGTGGTGAGGGGTACATGGCGGGAGGTGTGCAGCAGTTTGGCAATGGCCCGGGTCTCCACCCCTCAGGATGCTGACCCCGTATGGGCAGCCGTGTTAGCCAGGACCTCTGGCCAGTCCCTAAAGCCAGCTGTTCTGTAGCTCTGCCCATAGGAGAATGGATTCCCCTCCCTACCCTCATTAGCATGGACTCCGCCCACAGGAAGTGACCCCGCCCACTAAGTACCCAGGGGGCACTTTCAGGGCCTGGATAAGAGGTACAGTTTGGGAAACATGTTGCAAACACCCTTAATGAGAGCTTAAAAGGCTTTTTGAAATGTCTTTCTGTTCTTCTTGGGGCATCCGTAGTAGTCCGCAAAAATACCCAGGCTGTTTTCACTCAGGGTGGGAGGCCTCTGACTATTTGCTTAAAACAGCCTGTTTGCTCTGTGCTGCCCACTGGCCCCGCGGGCCCTGCTTCACCACCAGTGCATTTGCTTAATTGGTATTAAAGGGGAAAAAAAAGAGATTTTTGTGATTGCTTTTCAGATGGTGCTGTGGTCAGGCTTAACATCAAAGCAAAACCCGCCTGACTGTCCTCAGAAGCCGGGGGTGGCAGCCTTCAGGTGTGTGACCCTCAGGAGGCAGAGATTAGTTTGTCTGGATGGAGTCTTTATTGCCGTCAGTTTTCCTCTTAAACTCTTAACCATTAAAGACGTTCTCTAATTGAAATTTATCTCTCTGTAAACAGACTTTCCTATGTTGTATGGTTAAAAAAAAAAAAATTGCAATTTTCTGCTCCTCTAGTCTCGTTAATAGCAGGCAGGATGTCCCAAAGGCAAAGTGGAAGGATCTGTGGTTAAGATCCTCATGTCTTATTAGGAGGAACATCAGACCGCACCGCCACAGTGCAGCTCTCGGCTGCTTTCGTTATAGAATTGCCTTTGTCGGTTCCTTAAATAAAAATGACGGCTGCAGAAATCACCAAACCATCTTGCTAGATTTGGGAAGAACAGAGAGAACGTTGCCAAAAACCGTGACCAGATATAGATGGATAGCTTTGGCCAGATGCTAGGCGTGTTTTAAGTTGGCTACTGTATTTCACCATCTGGCCGGAAAGTTGCTTCACGTTATTATGAGTAATTTCCATATGTTTGGTGTTGAAAGACAATGGAACATCTTTGCTGAGGATCTTCTGACGGGCTGATTTAGAGATTCGAACCGACTCCAGGTGCAAGGGAAGCCGTGCGGTAGAACCTATCGGGGTGTTTTAAGCTCTTTGTACTGCTCACATGGCGATCGACAAGAAACTTGTCACTCGGGCTGCATAAATCTGTGACATTGGGCACGGGAAGGCAAAGTCACTGTTGCAGTGGAAGACTTTGTTATTGAGTTACGTTTTTGATTCCCAGGGGATACGTGTTCAGCGAAAGGAAATGACCTTGCAGAATTATGTTCCTCGAGTATGTGTGGGTGACCCCGCCACTTTCTGTGATGTTTTCCTCTGCTCAGTCGCTGGGACGGCGGTTGTGTTAGGAAATTCAAGGCTCTTGGTGTGTGTCCCTGAAGTCCCGAATTCTTGCCATTCTAGAATTCTCGATCTGGACTTGGTGGTGAGAGACGAAGATGGGAACATCTTGGATCCAGAGCTAACCAGCACGATCAGTCTCTTCAGGGCCCATGAAGTGGCTTCTAGACAAGTGGAGGAAAGGCTGCAAGAGGAGAAGGTAGGTGCGGCGCCCTGGGATAGGCCCTTGGCCAGGAGCGGTTTTCAGCACCAGCCGAACCCCAGCGAGGCCTGGGGTTTGCCTAGAAAGGACGCGAACCCGCACATGTGTCTCACACGGTGATGGATGGCGTGGTGCTGGTGTCAGAACACGTGCTGATGACCTGGACGGATTTCATCCCTCAGGAGCGTGGGGGGTGTCAGGAGGCAGGATCTTAATGACGTTGACGTGTTCTCATGGAAAACGATGCTTGGTTCTGTGCGTCCTCTTTGGCACGTGTAGAGGGTGGCATAGGCTAAGCTCAATGAGGGCAGGGAACACATGTCTTATTATTAGTGTTTCTTTTATCCTCACTCAAGGACATTTTTTTATATTTTGTTCAGATTGAGTGGGAGGGAGAGAGAGAGAGAAACATCGACGTGACAGGGACACATCGAGTGGTTGCCACCCACATGACCCAACCAGGGCCGGGGACAAACTGCAACTGAGGTACGTGCCCTTAGCGGGAACCAAACCCGGTTCTCTCGGGACCACAGGCCGATGCTCTAACTGCTGAGCCAAACCGGCCAGGGCGGGAACACATGTCTTATTGATCTTGTTCATCGTGTCTTGTGTAGAGGAGATGCTCAGGAATCGATGAACTGGTTGTCCTCCATTCATTAGCAAGTAGTGCTGGGTGCCAGGGACTGAGGACGCGGTGCGGAGTAAGACACAGATGTCCTTGTAGGGTTGTCTCATGGGAGAACCAGTATGTCACCAACGGCTCTGTGCGTGATCCCGTTATGACCCATTGGGCGCTGTGTGTCTCTGAAGGAAACACTCAGCCCGCCCCGTGACGGCCGTCAGCGTGGCCCGGGGCGCTGCTGTTTTCGGTCGGCTGCAGGCAGGTTTCAGAACTTGAAGTGGGGACAGAAGTGGCTCTGTGAGTGGCTCTGCTGCGTGGTGCCCCCTGGTCACACACGGAGTTCTGTTCTGTCGGGGAGGGAAAAGCCGGGGCTGGCGCTGAGCGCTGCTAACGTCAGCTTTCCGTTTTCCTTCCTTCCGCCTGCAGTCGCAGAAGCAGAACATAGATATCAACAGACAGGCCAAATTCGCCGCCACCCCTTCGCTGGCCTTGTTCGTCAACCTCAAAAACGTGGTTTGTAAGATCGGAGAAGATGCCGAAGTGCTCATGTCTCTGTATGACCCTGTGGAGTCCAAATTCATCAGGTCAGTGACATTTGCGATGCCAGGACGGTGGCCTCCGAGCCATGACAAAGCCCACTCTTGCAGAGAGCCCCCCACTGGTCAGACGTCCCCCAAGCAGCTGCCCCCGATGCTTTTTCGGGACAGTGTGATGGCAGAGAGTTTAGGCTCTGGGCCAGGGCAGCTTTCTCGTGGACGCGGGTATTTGATTGTAGTTTTAGTCTTGTCAAGTTTTAAGGACCGGGCCACTAAAGATTGAATAATACTGCTTCCTATGTTCCTGGGATCTTATTTATCCAGAGTCCCCAAATATCACTCTTCCCTTCATCTTGCTTCTTTGAATTTTTGTTCCCTGTGAATGCCTCTTCTGAATCTTTGACCTATAATTTCTCCATCATGATGGACGGGGAGGCCGTATCTAGACCGGTGCCCACCACATAAAGTCTCTGGGTTAATATGCCTTGAATAAAATACAGTAAATCCTGTCTGTCGTCCCTGTCATTTCTGATGTGGTCGTCTCTTTCCCATTTCTTGCTTTTGTCCCTCAGCGTGACTTTCTCTTGGTCTAGATGGAAAAATGATGGTTTAAATCATGTGTGAAGCATGCGTGTGTGTGTGTGTGTGTAAAACTCCAGCATCTTCAGTTCTGTTACTCAGAATTTTAAAGTGAGTATATACCAGCAAACAGAGCGAAGGGGAGGCTTCCAGTCTCACTTCTGACAAGGACTTTGCTTCTTCTTGGCGTAGGATTCCGTGTCTGCTTCTGGGTCCTATTTGGTTTTTCGAGCTCTGAAATACACAGTATCTATTTTATGCCATAAATGAGTGGATGGGGAATCTTCGGCTATAGTCTTCTCAATGGACAAAAATGCCTCACCGGTAATAACTGTTGAAATGCCATTTTCAGATCCCTTCGTTGTCCCTGCAACCCTAGACGTCCGGAGTTGCAGCCTCCCGCGCTCCGGGCAGGCCTGGACGCCACCTCGTGTGGCCAGTGCCTCGTCTTCTCCGTTAACGCAGGAGCAGCCGTGTTTGGCGCTGACGTTTCTGAACTCCTGTAGGGTGTCCGTGTCGTGGGCCTCCGAGGCCCTCATCATCGGTCAGTGTGGCTGTGCGTTTGGTTAGCCCTGGAAAATTAATCGGCTTTTCCTTCCTTTTGTTTCAAGTGAAAACTACCTGGTTCGCTGGTCAAGTTCAGGATTGCCTAAAGATATCGACCGACTCCATAATTTGCGAGCTGTTTTTACTGTAAGTGCCTCCAAAGATGTTGACTGGAATTGTTTACCTTTCTAATGACTATTTGTAATGACCCCCCCCCCCCCACCTCTCACCACACTAGCTCATGGGGTTCTTGCGATGCCTGCCACAGGTGGTCATTTAGTAATAATAACACCTTCCCACCATTGTCCAGCTTCCCTTGGAGTCCCCAGAACAGACTTGCTGCCTCACAGTGAACATAGCTGTCAAACTTGTATCTTCAGTTCGCTAAATGTTAAGTGGCTGCTGTTGCCCCGTTGCCTTGGCCGTGAACAGCTCGTTGCCGTGCTGAAGGCTGGTCAGGGAAGTGAGTCTCCGGCCCCTCTCTGCTGTCCGCTTCCTTCGACCTGCCCTGGGTCAGGGTGCTCCCGAGTAACTTGGGGAAATCACTATTTCTAGGACCTCGGGAGCAAAGACCTGAAAAGGGAGAAAATCAGCTTTGTCTGTCAGATCGTCCGTGTGGGTCGCATGGAGTTGAGGGACAACAACACGCGGAAGCTGACCTCGGGCCTGCGGCGGCCCTTCGGAGTGGCCGGTAACTCATGTCTCTTTGTCCTTGCGGGTCTCAAGATCGGCCCGTGACCCCGATCAGGGCTGCTGCTGATATTGGGAGAGAAAAAAAAAAATCTCTGAGTTCCCTCCTGGGTGGATTCAAGTCCTGGTGCTGCACAGGGTGCCGTCCGAGGATCGGATGTCAGTCGTACTTGGTTTGGAAGCTGGGGGGACCCTGCCCACATCCTCAGCCTGGAGGGAAGCCAGTCATTGCAGGGTGCCAGGCTTCACACACTGCTGATTGATTGATTGATTTGGGAGTGAATTCGCGAGTGGTCGCCGGCCAGGAGGAGGACACGGTGCACTCAGTGTAGGGGCAGCCCAGTGTCCATGTTCATCCTGTTTGGTTTGAGTGGTGGCAGCCCGGGAAAGGGAGAAATTCGTTGTCTCTGTTGAGGAGAGCCGAACCCGTCCCCAGCAGTTCCGATCGGTTGCCCATCTCTCCGTGTTGGGACGGATGGTGGGGGCGTTTCATCGCCCACCCTCTCTCGGGTCTCGTCCTTCTTGCCGATGCTCTGGCGGGCGTGTGAGAAGCGTTCTTTCTTCCCGCTGCTGCTGGTTTCTCGGACGAACAGTGGCTGGCACGCTTCACCCGGGCGGCCAGGGACCTCGGCTTCGTTCCGCTCCCTTGTTCCCTTTTAAACCTTTGAAACGGACTTGACTTTTGGGACAGTTTTAGGTTCCTAGCAAAATTCAGCAGAGAGTTGGAGATGGCAGTATCCTTTCTCCTGCCCTGCACGCAGCGACCCCAACCTGCACAGGGCCCCCCGATGGTGCGTTTGTTACAGCCATGAACCCACCTTGACGCGTCCTTGTCCCCCAGAGTCTATAGTGTACAGTCAGGCTCACTCTACATATTGTCCTTCCTGTGGGTTTTTTTTTTAAGTATTTTTTATTGATGTTTTTGAGAAAGGAAGGACAGAGATAGAAACATTGATGTGAGAGAGAAACATCTATTGGCTGCCTCCTGCACGCCCCCTACTGGGGATCGAACCTGCAACCCGGGCATGTGCTCTGACCAGGAATTGAACCGGGACCTCTCAGTTCATGGGACGATGCTCCATCCACTGAGCCACACTGGCCGGGCTTCCTGTGGGTTTTGATAGACATATAACCACTTCTATTTCCCATTTTACAGTATCATACAGTTTTCACTGCTCTCAAAGTCCTCTGTGCCCCTCCTGGATTTTTCTAGAAAAACCTATCCAGTCATTTAAATAAGTGATTTGCTACTTCCGAAGGATTGATGAGAGCAGTGATCGGGCATGGTGGGAAGGAAGCGTGTACCTCGTGCCGGTCCGTTTCCCAGCGGGCTCTGGTGCGGCCCTGCCACCGCGCGTCCCGGGAGCACGAGCTCAGGAAACTCTCCCGCTTCCACCCCCTATTTCTCGGACACGAACCTGGACTTTTGGAAAAACACGAACCGCTGTTTTTCAGAACCTGCACCATCTTTTGTGTGAAGTCTGATACGGCAGTTGGACTACTGAGATTTTTCAGGATTCTTGTTCTTTCCCACCTCCGTGGGAGTTTAAGGAAGTACTTTGTTTTTACCCCAGATGTATTAGGCTTCCCTTAAGCGAGCGGAGAAATCGTTGACCTCTATGTCCGAGGGGCCTCTTTCCACACGGGTGCTGTGGAATCTTTGGTTATTGGGCTACCAGTGCAGCGCTAAGTTCCTGTGAGTGCACAGGTTTCTCAGAGCCCCGATGACACCTGACCGGAGCTTGACAGCTTTCCCTTCCTTTTTTTAAATCCTCACCCAAGGATATTTTTTTCTATTTATCTTTAGATAGAGTGTGGGGGGGGTATTGATGTGAGAGAGACACATCGACTGGCTGCCTCCCGCATGATCCCAACCAGGGCTGCAACCAAGGTACGTGCCCTGGACCGGAATCGAACCTGTGACTCATTGGTCCGAGGACCGACGCTCTAACTGCTGAGCCGCACCAGCCAGGGCAAACGGTTCCTTCTGATTAAAGTGGGAATATTCTCAGCCTGCACAGGTTGTCTTGTGTGTGTGATGAAAACCATTTTCTACCTTGATCGGGCTGGTGTTTCCATGGATGGATGCATTTTTCAAAAGTCATTGAACACTATTACAATCGGTGCACTGGATCTGAACTTTTTATAAAGAAAGAAGTCAAGTCAAAGCATCCTTCCCTAGAGAAGTCTCCCCTGAGCCCCACCTCTCCTCTGTGCCCCAGTGACTCTCCGAATCCTTCCCTCATAGGACTTCACTTAGCCCTGCCCCCTCGCACACCTGTTGAATATATTTGCTGAGCTCCCGCACGGTGAAGACCCTGACTTACAGGTGTACTTCTCTGGTTCTACCACAGCCACAGGGAGTCAAAGTAACGTGGACTCAGCCACCATCCCATTCCTCCGCCACCCTGCCCCGTTTCAGGCCCTTGTGGTTCTAGAAGATGCCGTCACCCAGAGTTCTGCTGGGAAGCGCAGCTCTGGGGGGGCAGTGGGATGACAGGCAAAGGGGTTCATGAAACAGAGCTGTGCCGTTTGAGCCCCAGCCCCAGGCGGGCCAGCATTTCCAGAGAACATCACTCGTCTTTCAAACAGGGAGAGACTTGGCTTGAGTCGAAGAAAGTCCCCCCCACACCATTCCCGCCGCTGTTTGTCAGAAGACATTCTGATGTTCTTTGTTTCCTCTGATTATAGCATTGAAACAAAACGGTCTCTGTTCTTTTCTTGTCCCCAGTGATGGATGTAACAGATATAATAAATGGAAAAGTAGATGATGAAGATAAACAACATTTCATTCCCTTTCAGCCGTAAGTATGGAACAATCGAAGTACTTAACCAGAGATGCTGTAGAAAACATATGCTTATACTAAATATCTTGATAATTAAGTTTATAAATTCAGCACAAGTAGGGATTGGCTATTTTAAAATAATGAAACATCTATTTAGTCCTTGCTGTAGTGCACGGAATTCTCGTTCCCGTGAAAGAATCCAGGGGTAAAGTCTGGTCTTGCAAGTAGGCCGTTGCACGTGTGACCCCGAATCCCCGAGTCACTCCGCGCATGCGGAATTCTGGTTCTGCTCCAAGCGTGAATGTTTCTTTACCTGATTGATTATTCTCACAGCGATTCACGCTTTCAAAGTACAGTACTTTCAAATTCATCACAGGAGGCTGCCGTTGTGAAAATTGCAAACCAAACAAAATCATGATGAATCCTTTCGGAAAGCGAGGACTAACGCTCTCAGGCCGGTGCTCAGGCTGCTGAGTTCTGCCTGGGCCGCGGCCGGCGTGGCCCGAGTCTGCACGCCTTCCGAGCGCTTGTCTAGTTCGGACGCGCAGCCTGCGGAGGCCGGGGAGCCTGGGCGGCGGAGGGGGGGAGGAGGGGAGCAGGTCCTTCCGCTGATTCTCTGATTTGAAGGTAGAGCCTGCGGAACAGGCTGAGGAATAGGTGTCACTCCCCTAGAGGTTTAGGCAGGAGGGCGCCAGGATGAGGTGTGAGGCCGCTCTGAGGGCACCGCTGCACCTCCGAGGCAGAGAGGGGAAATCAGAAAGGGTTAGGCCACGTGCCGGAGACAGCTTCCTCCCGGGCGTGAGAGCCGAGCAGGGTGAAGGACAGAAGACCTGTCACCGTGCCTGCCCCTGTCGTGTCTCTTCTCCTTATTTCTGTTTTGGCGTTAGTGGTTTCAGACACGAAACACGTTTTAGTCTAGAAATTGATCCTCGTTTTCGGGAGTTGGCTGAGGGGGACTGGAGGCTGGTGGGTGGGTGGCTGAAGGGGTCCCGTCCTGGGCAGGGGTGGGGTGGGCTTCCCTCTGCACGTGAACCCACTCGGCCGGTGACCACCCCTTCCAGATGAGAGAAGGATTTGCTTTGTAGGCAGGCGACCTGGTCCCACGGCGTCCTGAAGCCTGGCTCCGTATACAGGCTTGCAGCCCTTGGGCACGAGGGTATCAGGAACCCCGTATTGTGGAGCTTGACGCGGGGTCCAGTTTGTGTGTCTCACCCCACACAACTGGGGCCGAGGTCCTATGGGGCTTCGGTGCCTTAGGGGTACTTTTCTGTTCGATACAGTAACCACCAGCCACCTGGGGCTATTTCAGTGAATGGAAAGTAAGCAAAATTAAATATTCAGCTCCTCAGTCACACTCGTCCCCACTCAAGTGCTCAGTACCACAGGCAGCAGGGACAGGACATTCCCCCCACCGTGGAGAGTTCTGGGTACAGCTGCTTTGGAGTCGCACCCAGTGAGTGTCGTTACTAAGGAAGCCGTTCTGCAGAATCCGGAAGCTCCCTCAGTAAACAGAGCCAGGTCCTGACATAAAATACACCCTTATAAAATGGTAACATCAGACTTCTTCCTTAACCCCGTGAGAAACGTGAGAAACAATGTAGCCCAGTTCTGTTTCCAATGCTGTCGTGTATATGAGGCCTCAGAGGTCCTTGAGGCCCAGATGTAGCCCTGAGTTGAAATTACTCATTGCCTGCTGGTGTCTTCTGGGAAAAGTCAAGGAAAAACGACACAGAACTTGGGTTATTGTTTGAAAAGCTAGGGAGAGTCTTAGTTTTAAGTTCACTGATCTCAGTGTCACGGGGACATGTTAAGAGCTACTTGAAATGGCATCTGGCCCCCATCTTTTTCTGCCTTTTCGTGAAACACCCGCTTTAGAAAATATTATTACATGTTCAACTCTTTCTGTAATTTGAAACTCCTTGCCCCATTAAAGGGAGTCTGATAATACACAGATTAATGTTTGCAGTGTTGGAAACAGAAAAGCAGCATGATTTTAGTAGCAAAATAAGCCATGACACCAGTTCTGTGGGAAATGCCATGCTAATGAAACCGTTTTTTGGTCCATTAAAACGGATTTATTATGTCACAAGATAAGTTTTAGGGAAGGGAAGCACAGTCCACATTTCTCTCCCTCTCTCTGTCTTCTAACTTGGAGAAGTAAATAAAACAGCCCTCAGCCCTCTTGAGTAACGGGGGCTCCCGCGGTGAATAACACTCGCCGTTGCTTCTGGAAATGGTGTTAAACATTATGCACGTGGTATACATTTCCTTGCTCATTCATATTGCCCTCTGCTGTGCTACATGGCACTTATCTTTGCCCACGTTGCCGTGTTTGCATTTAGTCTCTCGATTACTAGGGCAACTTCTATGAAAAGATCCTCTCTCGTGAGCCCCCAAAACACTGATGATCACATTCATAATGGTGTCACGATTCCACTTTCCAGAGACCGTGGTTGCGTTCTCCAAAGACTGCCATTCTTTTCACATCTAAGTATTTTAGGCCACATTGAGCACATAGCCTTTTGGAGAAGAGGGGTATCACCCACGCTTCTCAAGAAATTAGGTTGGAGGGATCCTTTTTAAAAAAAATCTTGGTTTTGCTTTTGCCCTTTAAAACACCTGCCCCTTCACCTGTGCTCTGGGCCAGAATCATTGAAACGGAAGAAATGCCCACACACGTTTCTTGGGATTAGATGCCATTCACTGCATACTTCAGATTAGTTCCTTTTTTTTTTTTATTGCCCCGTAGGAAAGGAGTGTGGGTTACGTAGGTTTATTTCCCGGGGGTAGGGTCGACCTCGCTGCTTTACTTTTCTCGTGTGGTGCAGCATTTTCCTGATCGATGCTCTTCCCTGTCTCTCTTGTCCATCTATCCCGTCCTTTGTCATGCGTTGACTCACGATGCCTCTCTCGCACTCGGTGACGATGATCTCTTGTGTTCCCTTGTTATCGTGACATCTGGGTCTCTGTGCCCCCTTGTCTCCTGTGGTCTTGGTCGTCCCGTGCCCTCCAGGCTCGCGTTGGATGATGCCATTCGACACAAGCCGCTGAACATGTCATCCCGTTTTTCACCCAGGGTGGCAGGGGAGAATGACTTCCTTCAGACTGTTATAAACAAAGTCATTGCTGCCAAAGAAGTCAACCACAAGGGCCAGGGTACGTATTCCATGGTTTTGTTTCTGTAAATGTCCACTTGTGTGAGCTAGGGGCAGTGCGGAGGGGTTTGCATTTTAGGTTGATGATCATGATGATGGTGGTGGTGGTGATGATGATAAAAATAATGATGAACATGATGGTGATGATGGTGGTGATGAGGATGATGATGAGGATGGTGGTGATGGTGATGGTGGTGATGAGGATGATGATGAGGATGGTGGTGATGGTGATGATGATGGTAGTGGTGATGATGATGATGATAAAAATAATGATGAACATGATGGTGATGATGGTGGTGATGAAGATGATGATGAGAATGGTAGTGATGGTGATGATGATGGTAGTGGTGATGATGATGATGATAAAAATAATGATGTACATGATGGTGATGATGGTGGTGATGAGGATGATGATGAGGATGGTGGTGATGGTGATGATGATGGTAGTGGTGATGATGATGATGATAAAAATAATGATGAACATGATGGTGATGATGGTGGTGATGAAGATGATGATGAGAATGGTAGTGATGGTGATGATGATGGTAGTGGTGATGATGATGATGATAAAAATAATGATGTACATGATGGTGATGATGGTGGTGATGAGGATGATGATGAGGATGGTGGTGATGGTGATGATGATGGTAGTGGTGATGATGATGATGATAAAAATAATGATGAACATGATGGTGATGATGGTGGTGATGAGGATGATGATGAGGATGGTGGTGATGGTGATGATGATGGTAGTGGTGATGATGATGATGATAAAAATAATGATGTACATGATGGTGATGATGGTGGTGATGAGGATGATGATGAGGATGGTGGTGATGATGATGGTGGTGATGAGGATGATGATGAGGATGGTGGTGATGGTGATGATGATGGTGGTGATGAAGATGATGATGAGAATGGTAGTCATGATGGTGGTGATGATGGTGGTGATGATGGTGATGATGAGGAGGAGAAGGAAGAGGATGATGATGGTGATGATAAAAATAATGATGAACATGATGGTGATGAGGATGATGTGGAGGAGACTGGTGGTGATGGTGATGATGACGGTGGTGATGGTGGTAATGAGGAGGAGAAGAAGGAAGAGGATGATGATGGTGGTGATTATGGTGATGATGAGGAAGAGGATGATGGTGATGGTGTTGATGGCGATGGTGATGGTGATGGTGGTGATGATGAGGAGGAGGATGGCAATGTTGGGTAATATGTGTACTTATGTGTCTGATGTACAGCATTACGAGGATTTTCTTGCTGATCAGCTGTGTAAGTACAGCTAAGAGCTAACCTCCTGGGTGCGAGGGTAAGACTAAGTGGTATACAGTGAAATGTTTGGAAACCAGAATGCGTGAGGCTGAAAGCAACTCATTTGTTTCTCCTTCAGTCTTTTCCAGCCATCTCCTTTTGTTCCAATTAGTTGTTTTGTTTTATCCTCACCCAAGGATATTTGTCCATTGATTTTTCGATAGAATGGGAAGGAAGGAAGGAAGGAGAGAGAGACAGACCGATTCAGACACACATCCATTGGTTGCCTCCTGCACGACCCTGACTGGGGCCGGGGATTGAACCTGCAACCAAGGTATGTGCCCTTGACCAGAATCCGAACCCGTGACTCTTTGGTCTGCAGGCCGACGCTCGAACTGCTGAGCCAGACTGGCCAGGGCATGTCCCAGTGATTTTTAAAAGCACTGGAATGACTTCATGGGAGCATCTAGGAACTGCCTTCTGGCTGTTATTTCTCTGGCTGTTTAGAGAAACGTGAGCCAATGACAGAACCCACCTCCACACCTGCCCTTCCCGTTTCCTTGCTGGTGTCGTTTTGATCACTGCACATCATTTTCTGGGACACCCCCTCTCGCCCCCTGAGAAAGTGGCTTCATTTCCTACTCATTTCCCTGAGGTTTTGTGGTAGAGGGATTGCTCCTTCTCCATGCCCTTTTGAACACTCCTCATTTTAAATCCGCCCTGACAAGTTTCCAAGCAGCTGAGCTTCTGTTGGCAGAAGCAATGAATCAGTCACCTCTGGCTGGGGATCGCTGGCACTTGGGCGGACCAGGAGAGCCGCCAGACGACAGGTGTTTACGGGGCCTCCAGCCTGAGAGGAAGCACCTGCAGCACCCCCTGCCTGAGACTGCTTTCAGCACCGTGGGGAGACGCACTGGCAGCCCCTGGCTGGAGGGAGGCTGACTCTTGCCTTTTGGGGCTTTGATGAGCAGACCTGTTTCATTGCCCAGTGGCCTGTGTCAGTAGACGTCTAAAACACGGTTTCATTTCTCCTCGTTCTGAGGGAGCCCCGTTCCCCTTGGGCCTCCTTGCTCTGACGGGATCCTCCGAGTTCGGCACAGTGGTGTCACTGCAGTCACACAGGAGAGGCGGAGATTGGTGTCAGGCCAGCAGGACATTTCTTGGAAAGGGGATCGAGAGCCGGCCTCCGTCAGTCTCATATCCTGTGACCAAAATCTGGGACACCAAAGGCCCTTGAGCTGATCGTAGGCCCAGTTCATGGAGCCGCAAGGGCAGGAGGGGTGTCTTCAGGTCACAGTGAGAGCTGAGAGAATGCCCTTGGGCCAGGTCACTCACTCAGGTTGACCTGGACATGGAGGTGAACTTCAGGGCTCCCTCTAGCCCGTGTCCCTGCTTTGCGGGCGGAGCCGGGAGGGCCCCGGGCCCCGTGCACACAGCCCTGGATGAGCCGCGGGTTCGCTGGGCTGGCCCGGGCTGCTCTGTGTCTTCCTCAGCAGGCACCTGGGCCCTCCTGATGCTTGCTGCCCATCTCCCAGTTCAGAGTGTGGGCAGCGGGCGGGTGGGAGGGCCGGGACCTTCACAGACACGAGTTTCCCACGCTCGTCCGTTCTCGCTGGTGCCTGGCCCCTCTGGCGCCTCTCTAGGCTTTGGCCTAGTTTAGGTTTACATCAGCGTGTTTACTTGTCCCAGTGGAAAACATCGTTTATAGTTAGCCCACATCGTTCTGCACCCTGACCCCAGAGGTGCTGTCTGGCTGGCTGACGTGGGTGGACAGAGAATCTTTAGACACCCCAGTACATCTGCCCCTATTGCTTTACGTAGAATAATTCTACCCCCACTTCCCTTTTTTCCCTTAATCTTCACTGGAGGATATTTTTTCCTTTGATTTTCAGAGACAGTGGAAAGGAGGAAGTAAGGCTGGAGGGGAGAGAGAGGGAGAGGGAGAGACACATCGATTGGTTGCCTCCTGCACGTGTGCCCCAACCAGGGTCGGGGATCGAACCTGCAACCCAGGCGCGTGCCCTTGGCCAGGAATCGAATCCATGACCTTTTTGTCCAATTTGCATATTTCACGGAGGTTCACAGTGAGCGTTTTGCCTGTGAAATGGAAGCCACGTCCCTGGTGGGGATGGGAGTTCGCCCTTTGTCTGCTGTGCCTGATGTGTGTGGGACACACAGTGGGTCCTCATTAGATACTTTTGAATAAATCCGGGAATCAGTAGATGGCAAGAGGACAGGGAGTTCAGCTGGCAAAGCAGACAAGGCCGTCGGTGCCCGCGGGCGCTGTCCGCCCCAGCAGTGCAGACCTTCGCAGACCACAAGGTGTTTCCAGGCCAGCTGCTTGGGGACCAGGGAGCCAGGGGATCAGGGTGTGAGGTGTGTGGTGTTCCCATTGTCCTCTGCTGAGTGTGGGTGCTGAGCTGAGCCGTGGTGCACAGTCCCTGCTCCCTGGAGGAGGACTAGCTAGGCAGACAGACAGACACACACACAGTAGCAGTGAGAATGAGGACAGACGCCTTTATATTCTTTTTTCTGTTTTTTTTTTTTTTAATCCTCACCTGAGGATATGTTTTCATGGATTTTAGAGAGACAGGGAAAGAGGGAGAGAGAGAGAAACATTGATGTGAGAGAGAAACACTGATCCGTTGCCTCCTGCACATGCCCCGACCTGGGCATCGAACCCACAACCTGGCTATGTGCCCTGACCGGGAATCAAACCCGTGACCCTTGAGTGCTCAGTATGATGCTCCAACTAACTGAGCCACACTGGCCAGGGCACGATGCCTTCCTATTCTCACGGGAACTTGGGGTCCCACATAGCTGAGTGACCAGGGAGCAAGCAGGCCAGGCCCCAAGAGTCTCAGGGACAGAGCCCCTGACGCGCCGGCCGACAGTGGCAAACTCCCTTCCGACCCGGGAGGGAGGCCAGGTCCTTGGAAACGGCTGACAGAGCCAGGCAGCCGCTTTGGCTCCTGCCTGTAACCTGGTCAAGTGTCCGCTTTCCCCCCGTGTGTTCTTACCTCCCGCTGACGGCTGCTCAGGACCGTCTCCTTACAACATGCGATTCTCCGTCAGCTTTTCGAGGGGGCTGGCTGGGCACAGCTCGGCTCGCTGGTGTTAGCAGGTTCGCCCTGCTCCACCCGGGGCCCCCTGTGCCTCTGCTTGGAGGGTTTGAAAGTCTTCATTTCCCCTCCCGTGACATTGAAACAGGGACCGGACTGCCCTGGCTCCGCTGTCTCAGTCCCGTGGGGCTGGCCCAGGGGCCGCCCGCAGCCCAGCTCTCCGCCGCCCACTTTATGGAGAGTGTGGATGCGACCTAGCAGTTGGAGACTCGTGGGTTAGTGAAGCCAAGAATGTACCTCCCGAATTCCCCTTTGCTGTTCTTAGGGGAACGAGAGGCCGAGCCTGTCATCCCCTCCCGGAAAAATGCCGCCTGCCAATTTGTCTGAAATGCACATCAGCTCAAAGCGTCGCTGTTCGCGGGCAGATGTGGCCCCCAACTGTTGTCAATGTGCACACCTGTTTGTGAGGCCCCCTAGTGCAGGTTTTGTATCCCAGCCAGTCAGATGCAGGGAATTCCCCTGGGCCAGCCCCATGTTTTCCTGGCCCCTCCCTGTCTCCTACACTATCTTTTCTCTGATTACATTGTGAATGAAAAGTTGCTCATTCAGGGAAAATGGTTTGTGATGTCTTCTTTTAAAAGGGGACGCGATAAAAGGTAATCCGTGCATCCTTTGTTTCCTAGGTTTGTGGGTAACTCTGAAATTACTCCCTGGAGACATCCATCAGGTTAGAAAGGAGTTTCCTCATTTGGTGGACAGGACCACAGCAGTGGCTCGGAAGACGGGCTTCCCGGAGATAATCATGCCTGGTAAGAGCCGCCCCTCCCCCAGCTCGGAGTTGGTGTGGTCGTAGCCGGCGTTTGGGATGGCCACAGAGTGTCACGTGGCCAGGGACTGTGGGAGCCCTGGCCGGCGGTGGGCTGAGTGTGGCAGGTGGCTGTGGACCCCCGTGTGGCTCTGCGTGGTTTCTGCAGGCAGGCACTGCGGATCAGGCCGGGGGAGGCGGCTTCTCGGCTGTAATAACCTGGGCGGGCTGGAGGGAGTGACGCCTCACAGTGCCGGAATGGGGACCCTCGGGTGAAATAGGCAACTGCCTGCAGGCACCGCCCCGGGAACTTGAGATGGGTTCCTGGCAGCGGCTGGGTAAATGTCATCCCTCGGTGAACAGCCGTGACGGTGCCAGGTCCGTTGTTGCCTCGTACCCTGGCCGGAAGGCTGTGTATTAGGTTGGGTCATCTGCAGTCATGCAACTCAGGGTGATCGGGCAGGGGACCCTTTGGAGGGTTTTGGAGAATTCACTTTCAGGCTCTGATGAATGGGTTGGTATGATGTTTGGTTCACTCTAGGACTAAGGCGACTCCTTTATGACGATCACGTACGTTCACAATGATGCCCCTGGGCTCCCCTTATGGCCCTGTGACAGCATCTGAATCATGCAGAACATGGTCCAAGTGGAGGGAGCGGTTTAGGTGAACTTACCCTGCTATGTTCCGGGCTTTGGAAAAGGGCCCTCTGGGGAGGCTGTGGGTTCCGTGTCTCGTCGCCACGGTGCTCCACAGAAGAGGGAGTGGGACCTGGATGCAGGTCCCTGGCTCCGAGTCCTCCTCTACCCCTCTCTGGCTCTGTGGCCTTGGGCAAGTCCTACCCGCTCTTAGCTGTGGCTTCCTCTTCCGAAGAACGAGAAGAATAATATTCCCACCTGTAGGACTGGTTGGGCTTATGAGACTAGGGTCTAAGGAACAGAAAACCCAAGGCCAGTGTGAATGGCCAAACCCTGAGGATACTTACGGATCAGCTCCGGAGACAGAAACAGAGACAGAGCAAGCCACAGCTCCCTCTGCTGAGCTGTCACCTTTGCACGAGGACGTTCTCCTCTGGGGACAGTCCCTGCTGATGCCCAGCTTCTTCCCAAATGCCAGTGTCCTGAGACACATGGCATGCTTTTGACCCAATGTTCCCAATCAAGGAGCCTGAGCTCATCCTGGGACCCTGACAGCGACCGCCCGGCAGGTGGCGTGTGCATGTTGGCCACCTGGACGTCTGGAGGGGGTCAGCTCCCCCCACCTGCACGGGTTGTGGGAGGGTGGCGTGGACACCCTACAAATCTGGATTGGCACCTGATGAAAAGAAGGAAGCAGGGGCAGAAGGTGAAGTGTACCCCTGGGGCCTGCTCAGTTCGTACCTGTTAGCGTACGGACCCTGCTCGGGCCGGTTGTGGAGTTTCAGCTTATTAAACCAATGATGGAATTCCGTGTTGAAATTAACCTCTTCTGGTTATATAATGCTTTTTGGTTTTCAAATAGCATTCATAAGGTTATTAACAATCCGATTTGATCCTCGCGAGATCTGGGGAAGCATGTCAATATATATCTTTTCTATCTGTGGGATTCTTTTTGGTTTGCAAATAGCGCTCACATTTATAGTCTGGCTCGCTCCGCCTCAGGATCTCCGAAGCTGACAAATTGGTGTTGAACTCATTCCTGACAAGATTCAGCCACAGCCTAAAGTCACACGGCTAATGAGCGGTGGAAATGGGGCCAAACCACCCCACATTTGACAACTCCCCGCGGCCACCTTTCACGGGCTGCGTCGCGAGGCTCCAGGAGAGGGGCGTTGGGTGAGCAGCTGTCAGCGATGGCTGTTTATTTCAGGGCAGTTGGGGACGTGCTCTTCCGACTCCCTCTCTCAGGGTTGTAGTGGGTCACGGTGTCCTCTGTCTGCTAAATCAGTGTGAAAGACATCCAAAATTGGCCAGACTGAATCGCGGAGGCCCAGCTGGACAGAAAGAAAGCGTGACTCTGCACCTTGTGAAACGGGTGCGCCCACCGCTTGTGGGAGGCACGCCTGTGTGCCGCACACCCGCTCGGACTCCCAGCGGACGGACACACTGCATTCGGATTCGCGGTGCACATTTATAGACTGTGTCCTTGAACTCACCCTGAGGATGCCCTCGTGTCCAGTGGAGGGCTTGGGAAGTTCTAGGTCATCGTGGTCATATCTCCCTTGTAACGGAGACTTTTTTTTTTTATTCTCACCTGAGGACATTTTTGCATTTATCTCCAGATAGAGTGGGAAGGAGAGAGGGAGGGGGAGAGAGAGAGAAACATCGAGTGGGCGGGACACATCAACTGGTTGCCACCCACACGCTCCCAAGCGGGGCTGGGGACAAACTGCAAGCGAGGTATGTGCCCTCAGTGGGAACTGAACCTGGGACTCTCCGGTCTGTAGGCTGACCCTCTAAAAGCTGAGCCAGATGGGCCAGGGCGTAACCGAGACTTAGACATCACGGCTGGACCTGTGACATCTTCTCATAACAGAGTCACAGGAAGCCATACAGCTGCTCATTGTTCCTGCAGCTTCCGTGGTTCCCGCAGCTTCCGTGGGCTGAGTCGGGAGTGGGGTTTCCAGGGTTAGGCATTCTGGCTTGAGTGAGCCCCACGTCTTACCCTGGGGCGAGACGGCGTGGGGCCTCCCCTCAGAGCCCAGGCCTCGAGCCCACGTGGTCCCGTGCATCTCACGGGGCCGGGTGTTCCCGCTGCTCGGGGAGGGCCTGCGGTGGCCTCGCTGTGGGCTGTCCTTTCTCCTGACCCACGGGAAGTCCTGGAGCCCTGGAGGACTTGTCGGGGGAGCAGTTTGTCCCCAGCTGGGAAGGTGGCTGGAGGCTTGGATGAGGCCAAGTGAGGGCCCTCCGTGAGGTCAACCCTGTCTCCTTCCAGTACCGTCCTCCCCTAAATGACACCCCGGAACTGGGGGGGGGGGGCATGTGCCGGGGGCCTCTTGTGAGCAGCCGCCTGTGGGGTTTACTTATTAAGATTAGGGTCACACTCTGGGGTGGCCCCGCCGCGCGCATCTCCAGCCGGCGGGAGAGGGAGACCCTGCCGTTGAACCACCGCCCAGCCCGTGCTGCTGCCCTGGCTGATGAGGCCTCTGTGATGCTGTTGGCACCCTTGGGGCTGATTTTCTGCGTCGGTGGACGTCTCCGGCTGAGGGATCATACACACTGCCCTGCCTTGCTGATGAGGCTGTTCAGTGGTGGGTGGCTCAGTGGGTGGAAGGCTCTGTGACTTGTCCCAGGTCACACAGCTCGCTGGTGGCAGGTCCTGGACCCGCGGCCCCTGCCCTGTGCCCTGTCATTCTTAACGACTCCCCCAGTCGGGAGCCCGGCGGGCCGCTTCCTTTCCCAGCAGCTGCCTGGCCCTGCTGACAACCCACTGGGGTCCTCCTAATAATGACTTTTAAATGAAAGCGTAATTTACTAGTTGGATACATTAAAAGCAGAATGGAGCAGGAGAAAACAACAACAAACCAAAAACAGGAAGGTAAGGAGGTTTCTCTTCTTCAGGGAGCCTTGTTCCTTGCCCAGAGCAGGCTGTTGGCTTCTCTGGGCGAAACCGTTCCTTGGGCCCCCGTGGGCCGGCAGGTGGGTCAGCCGTGGGAGGCGGCCGGACAGACAGCCGCGGAGCCGCCCCGGTGCTGCTGCGTCCTCTCCATCACGCTGCTAACGAAGCTTGCGGAGTTTTCCCAGTCGGACCGCTATCAGGGGCGCCTTTGTTCTCCGTGGGTAGTGCGTCCTGAGCTCGTTAGTTGCATTTTTCTCTTGCACAGTTTAAGTCCCTCACTTGAAAGTACACAGGTCTGCACTGTATGTCAACTGTACTTGAATAAAACAGGATGCACAGGTGTGTTCTATTCTCCTTCTGCTCCCTGTGGTCCCCATGCAGGCTCCTGACAGCTGTTTGCCCGGAGGAGAGAACCATGCAGAGAGTTTCTCCTGACCCATCCCTAGTCCCGAGCCCAGCAGCGCAGAGCATGGGCCTGTGGTTTGAATTCTTCATCAGCTTTTCGTCCAATTCCTTAGTAAAATGCACAAGAGGCCAACATTGCCATTACCCTCGGTGTCCGTCGATGTTACGATATTCTTGGCTACTGCGACTCCGATGACCACCGCCAGGAGTCTCACAAGGGGTGGTGACGTGGGTCGCTGGAGCGGGGATACGTCCTTGCAGACCCTCCGGCAGCATTTGGTCTGCTCAGGACACGGGCTGCCCAGAGATGTCCGAGCTCCCACCCCCATAGTGAGGAGCCTCGACATTTTTTTTTCCTCTTTCTTGCAAGTCCTAGGATGATGATGAAAACCGCTCTTGTTATGCTTCATGCGCCGGAACTGTTTTGTAGAAAGTATTTTGCTACCCTCTAGTACAGTCTTGGTCATACTTTGCTAGGAGAGGTGACGAGGGAAGACTATTCTGCAAAATTCACGGTTACTCAATGCATAATGGATTGGTTTTAAAAGCATAATTCCCCTCCCACCAGGTGATGTTCGAAATGATATCTACGTAACATTGGTTCAAGGAGATTTTGATAAAGGAAACAAAACCACCGCGAAGAATGTCGAGGTCACGGTGTCCGTCTACGACGAAGACGGCAAGCGGCTGGAGGTATTGGCCTGTCGTTCACCTGCAGGGATTGCTGCTTTCTCAGCATCCACCTCTGCTCTGCTTCAGACTAGGAAATCCTGCTCCTGCTTCTAGGGCTGCGTCTTTCTCTTTCTCCCCTTTCTCCTGCTGTCTAGAGCGGGCTCCCGCCGGGTCCTGGCAGCCGGCCTGCCCCAGGGGGCCCTGCACTCACTGCCAAGCTCCCTCTACGGACCAGGGCTGAGGGCTTAGCCCTGTGTGGCACCTGAGGCTCAGCTAGCTCTGCCAGGAGGTGGGCATGCCCTTTCTCTCCGGGTGGCTCTGTGCACGGTCCCACCGTGCAGTGCTGGCCACTTGGGCTCCCCCAGTATTGCTCCCACGGGAGTCGTGTGGTCAGTGTTCACGGCTGGGGATGAGCGGGAGGGAGTGTTCCTACCTCCTGGATTCTGTCTGTGGCCTGTATTTGGGGCCTACCCAGTGAATCAGGCGACTCCCTGAACGAAGACCCTAATGTCGGCGTCGTTCGGGTGAGGGTGTGAAGGGTGGAGGGCAGCATGGCCCCACATGGCCGCTGTCCAGCTCCTGAGTGTCTGGGAGTGAAGTTGGGTGCTGGCTTTGGCGCTGGTGGATGTGTCCTGGGCGGGGAGCGTGTTCCTTCCAGTTGCTGGGCCATTGGACCCCTGGAGCGTTCTCTCCTAGCTCGTCCGGGGGGAGGTGGGGAGGCGGAGGCCGCATCGAGCTCTGAGATTGACGTGAACCCTCTGTGCCTTCTTCTAAAGCACGTGATCTTCCCGGGGGCCGGCGACGAAGCGATTTCAGAGTACAAGTCCGTGATTTACTACCAAGTGAAGCAGCCGCGCTGGTTTGAGACCGTGAAGGTATCACTGACGTGGTCACTTTATCCCTCGGGGTTGACGATGAAATGCTCACTGGAGCCGAGGGAAGTCCCCACGTCCCACCTGACGGGCCCTCGCCCACGGGCACCCTGAGCCGCAGGGGCACCTCGGCAAAGTCACGCGAGGTTGCTAAGGAACCTGGCATTCCTTGGGATACATTTACTCTCATTTCCTTTTGGACATAAAAATGGCACTTTCATGGAGACAAATGACCAATCCTTTAAGGACAGCTATTGTTCTTCTCTTCCCGGGTCTGTTTTATGTGTGAAATGCTGTCTTTACAGCAAATGGGAAAAAGCAGAGACGGCTGTATGTAGAGGGTATCGCAGGGGAGACGGGCCTGCTCCCCGGGCACGGCCCCTCGTTTCACGGGGCACCAGGCTGCTGTCCCACCGCAGCGCACACACCGCGGGCCGGGAGAGTCGGAACCAGGCCAGCGGATGGCCGTGGGTACACATGTTCCATGTGAGAACTAGGGACAGTCTTGGCTGACAGGCAGCATGCATCAGGTCTCTTCTTTCACTGTAACTCACAAGAAGGCTTTCATCCTGCCGTCGGGGGAGGTCCCCACAGCTGTGCGGGAACCCGGACACCTCGGGGGGGGGGGGGGGCTGAGGACCTGCGCGGCCGCTTTTCCGACACAGAATCTTCACAGTGAGGGTCGGAGCATGGGGGGAACCTTGAGCCGCTCACGGAGTATCTCATTGACATTGTCCAAAGGCATTTGCGTTCGGGGAGTCTGCAGAGGGGAGTAGGTGTTTCTCCACGGCCATGCAGAAATGGGTGCCGCCGGGCAGGGTGCGCCCTGGAATTGTGCTGTCAGTGCGAGAAGACGCTGGTGAAGGTGCTCACACCCCCCTTTTCCGTCTCGCCAGGTGGCCATTCCCATCGAGGACGTCAACCGCAGTCACCTACGCTTCACCTTCCGCCACCGCTCCTCACAGGACTGTGAGTAACCGCTTCGTCCCTCTGTGTTTGTCAGCGGGGAACTTGGGGAAGACTCGGGGGGCTGCCCTTGTTCTAGATGGTTCTAGGTGGTTTTGGAACTGGGCGACCGAAACGCAGCAGGGTCTTGTCTCTTCCACCCGTGTCCCGGGAAATGTTATCAGCTCTTTCGCTGAGCCCGTCTGGGGAAATCTTTATCTTCTTCTCGGCTTTTTCCCAAGAGGTGCTGCCACGTACCGTGCTGTTGACCTCCTCCCTCCCGTTTCGGTTTGCGATGCTGTCCCGTCCGTCAGCAACGTCACCGAGGGACGCGGGGATTCCAGGCCCGGCTCTTCTGTCGGACCAGGAAATCCCGAGGCCTTTTTGGGAGCCTGGAGCCTGGAGCTGGGGCCAGGCTCCTCCCGTAGGGTGTGGGTGCAGCTGGGGTCTGTTGGCAGCTCTTGGGGAGGAAAGTACTGGTGTTGGAATCACTTACCTTCCAAAAGGCGTCATCATCCATGACTACAGTTGGCCTCATCACGTTTGCTGAAGTAACTGATCACTGAGGACGTCGCCCTGTGTTAGACACTAAATGATGTCACAGTAGGCACACTTGCCCCGCCCTTCGTGGCCTGTGCTCACGTGGCAGTGGGCCGAGAGCTGGAAGAGCACGTGGCAGTGGTGGTGCAGCGTTGCTGCAGCATGCAGGGAGAGGCGGTTGGTGTGGCTGTGTCTGTCACTGATGGCCCCTTAGGGGTCCCCAGCCCTGGCTGTGTGTCCCCCCATAGTTGCTTCAGCTTGAGGGGAAGAATGCCCGGGGTTTTGGTGACTGAGCAAGGTGGAGGCTGCTGACCCCTCGGCACAAAGCCTGGCGTAGAGCAGAGACTTTGTAGACACTGCTGCTGCTGTGACCGTGTTTCTTACCGTGTCTGGGGGCCTGCTTGACCTGGGCCCTCTCCAAGTGTGGGGTGCTAGAGACCAGTCTGAGAGGGAGCACAGAAGCAAAGGCATGACGTTGGGTGTGTGTAGACCCTGTGTGGGCTCAGTGAGAAGCCTGAACCCCACTGTTATTCAGAGGTTTTGGGGGGCATGGGGTATGAGGTTTGCAGGGCTGGTGTGTGGACAGCATCGACACCAGCCTGAAGATGCATGGTCCATCGTGTGAACGGGATGCATGGACAACAGAGGGGACGGAAGTGACCGGGAGCATTGTCCCTCTCCTTGTCCTGTCCCAGTGTCTAAGCAGAGCTGGGTCCAGCTGGAAAGGGCCAGGGTTCAAGTCGAGTGGGAGAAGCAGGGGCCTGAAGGCCAGGCAGCTTGGGAAGCGGAGCCCACGGTGGCCTCCATTCCCTGGGGCCAAATGCAGGCCCCAGGCAGCCGGCCAGGCTCTGCCAGGCGTGCGTGGAGCTCCCGATGGCCGAAGCTGGACAGCTGTCAAGGAACAGTTACCGACATCCATGTGCTCTTACCGTGCTCCTGACTCACCGTTTTACTATATTAGGTAATCGGTCATCATTTTCCACATGACAGATGAGAAAACCAAGGCTCAGAGAGCCCACCTCAGGGGCCCGAAATTTCTCGTCGTCAGGGCAGAGCTCTGGTTCAGACCGCAGCCCTGTGCCCAACTTCGCGCCCCCACACCTCTGGGGCGTGGCGAGGCCGCTTCCGTCACCTGGTCTCACGGAGGGGGCTCTGCTCTCGCAGAACGTAGATTTGAGTGGAGGACTGAGGTCACCTTGCAAGAACCAAGTAGAGAAGGGCAGTCGGGGGAATCGTGGGACATGCAGAGGTGGGGGGTGAGCAGAGCGGGGGGCGCGCATGGGGGACGCTTCGGGGCCAGGGCAGCGGTGGGTGGGCGCCCTGCATGAGTGGACTAGCAGGGCGGGAGAGGCCGGCTCACCGCCGAGGGCTGCAGAGGAGCAGGTGGGGAGGGGCCCCGGAAGGCAAGGGCGAAGCTCTAGAATCCTCAGAGGTCTTGTCTCAAAATCCGAGCACACTCCCCCTTATAACAAGCTCATTCCCTCTAATTAACAAATCACACTAGGGCAGAGGGGTATCTTCTGTAGCATTTCAATTTTCAAAATTCTTGTTTTTCTTGTCAGATTTAAGTACTCATTATAGACAAGATGCTATCACCCGGCATTACATGACACATTTGTATAATTAATGAAGTCTCCCCGGCCACAGCTTATGGGGGCTTGGGAACGTGGTGAGCATCCAAAGCGTGATGCTGATGAAATCCCGGGTTGTCAGCTGCTGGAACGATGTGGCCCCCAGAACCTCTCCTGCGGCCCCATCTGTAGACACTTCGGGTCAGAAGTGGAAAAAACCGGGGCCACCTTGCCCTCCCCCTCCAAGCAAAGTGTGAGCTGCTGTCCCCCTAAAGGGAGCAAGTGATAGGCTTTCTCGGCTGGCATCTGCCCTGGGCGTTTGGAAACTTTGTTGCTGATGTAACTAACACTCTCCAGCAACTTGTTAGCCATTCCAGAGACATCAGCTCATGTTTTGCAGGGATGCCAGCAGATGTGTGGCTTTGGGGCCAGGCCTGCCAGGAGCTAATGTCCCCTCCCTGTAGGGGGCCTGGTTGGGCGGGGCCTCCTGTGGCACTCTGAAAATTTGTTATCGACCTCATAATAGCTGCTAATGAGCATGTAACAAGTGCACTCCGTTCCCTTGCTGGGAAGATGTAAAATGTTGCTTAAAAAAAAAAAAAGTACACGTTTTTACTCTGTGCTACTTGATAGCAGGACCAGGGGACGCCGGCAGTTGATGGACACCCTCACGTGTCCTTCCCAATCATGGCTGCTTTTGCAGAGACATGCTTGATTTTTTTCATATCAGCCCGAACTTAGAAGAATCTGTTCTTGTCACCTGCTCGTTAAGACCTGCCATGTTTTCTAGTGCCCTTTTACAGCGTGTTTTTCTCGATTTCTAGGGGTCATCTTTTACTCTTATCCTTCCCTTTATTCTTGGTTCGTCAGTTGTTCATTCTTTCATCTGATTAGCATTTATTGAGCACCTACGATGTGCCAGGCACTGATGGACACCAGAGTGCAAAGGCTCATGCGAACTGCTCTCCCAGGTAGCGGTGTCTTCCCGCGAATATTCTGAGCCCTGACTCAAGGTGCACGGATGTGGGCTCCTCTCCTCTTTGACCTCTGGCCTTTCATCTCTAAAAAGAGACACCGGGACACCTAACTCGAAGGATATTCTCTAGCTCTGAAAGTCCGTGTTTCCATGTTACACGTGAATGCCCTTCTTCGGTCCAGGCTCCTTGTCCATCCCTACCTGACCTGGCCCCTGCCTGCCTTGGAGCCCTCCCGCCTCCTGCTCACCAGCCACACTGGCTTTCTGTCCCCAGACTCCCAAACCCAGTCCCTCTTTGGGACTTCTTTATCTGGTCATCTGTCCTCCTGGAAGGTTGGCGTCTTGGCTCATGGGTCGTTCATCTCCACAGGGAGACCTTTTCCACGCACCCGGGGGGATCGTCCCTGCCCCACCGTCACTCTAACAAAGCACCACCTTTTATTTTCTTTGTCATCTGGAAGAACTTGCTAGTTGGCGTCTCCCCACGTAGAAAAGATCTTGCCCTGGGCAAGTACCACAGAGGAAACACACACTGTCCCTGCCGTTCAGAGTTCGGGGATGAAACTAACCACCATCAACAACGGACACGCACGTGCGTCTGGTCATGTAGGGTGACACAGCTCTCATTTGAGTCAGCTCGGGCAGCCGTAATCAAATGCCGGAGACTGAGGGGCTCCAAGAAAAGACGTTTCTCTCTCATAGTTCTGGAGGCTGGAAGCCTGCGTCCGGCCAGGCGTGTGTGAGGATGTCTTCTCGACCCCGTGTGCTGCTTCTCGCCCTGGACTCGGAGGAGGAGCGCCCTGCCATCTCTCCCTCTTATCTGGGCACCAGTTCGAGGGGTCAGAGCCACACCCTAATGACCTCACTGAACCTTAGGCACCTTATTTTTTTAAACATTTTTTTTTCTTTAGTGAATTCTAGAGAGAGGAAGAAGAGGGAGAGAGAGAGAAAAATAGCAATGAGAGAGAACATCGATCAGCCGCCTCCTGCATGCCCCCCACTGGGGATTTGGCCCACAACCTGGGCATGTGCCCTGCCCGGGAATTGAACCGGCGACCTCTGGGTGCATGAGGCGATGCTCAACCCCTGAGCTCACAGGCCAGGCTAAGCATCTTATAGGCTTATCTCCTAGAGGGTCACGTGTAGGTTTGGGCTTCACCACACCAATATGGGGACACAGTTTAGTCTTTAGCAACTATGAAGAAAAATAAGCCAGGCGAGGGGCCAGAGTGTGACCGGTTACTCACTCACTCTTTATATGGCGGCTGACTGCTGACCGCAGAACCCCTGCTCCCTCAGCAGGGACTTGAATGAAGTGAGGGACCGAGTCTCACCTGCCGGTACCTGATAGAAGAACTTTCTTGCTAAAGAGAACAGCGTTTCCCGTTCAGGTCCTTGGTCTTCCTGTAATTCATGTCCCTGTTCTGTGTTTCATATCCAAACCCAGTTTTCGCAGCCAGTGGTCTGCCCCTCCGGCCGTCATTGACGGCGGCCTGTCCAAACGCGGTCGGTTCCCGCTGGTGTGTGCATCCCTGTGTTCGGACACCCTGTCTCATCCGGGCCGCTGTAGTTACTCCCGGTGTCCAGTATCGCAGGCTTTTCCTGCACAGTTGTCCTGGAACCTGTGGCCCATCCTCTGGAGTCAGAGTCCCGGTTCCACCAGCAGGCTCATGTGTGCGTTCTGATTGGAACGGCTTTGCATTCACAGGTCGATGTGAGCGCAGCCGGTCCCTGTGGGATAAGAGTCTCCCTGCCGGTGACCCTTGTCTGCTTCTCCCGTTACTTACGTTTGCTGTAAATCTGTCAGTGTGGTGGTGTCATTTCCTCAGAGAGACAGTCTTCGCAGCCCCTTCTGACGTGCTGCTCCCACGACAGTGGTCGGAGATGCTTGTTGATTTCTGTTGCAGCGAAGGATAAATCTGAGAAAATATTTGCCCTGGCGTTTGTGAAGCTGATGAGATACGACGGGACCACTCTGCGGGACGGGGAGCACGACCTCATCGTCTATAAGGTAGATCGTGTGGCAGGTGCAGGAGGGCGGAGGCTGCCTCTTCATCCTTCCCGCCTGAGCCGACATTTCTCCCCTCGGGGAGAAAGCGACCATTCAGAAACGTTAATTATGCAAACCCATGTTTCCAGTGGCCGGCCTCCGTGCTGCTCCTAATGAGAGATGATGTACAATAACACATTAGGTGCTGTGTAAAGAAATGCTCTGTTAACACGAATTAATCTACAGGAATTAGAGAAATCATTAGAATAAACAGTTTAGCACATGATAAACAGCAAAGAGCAGGATGGTTAAAAAGGATTAGGGATAACAAGGGCTAGGAAAAAACAACCGTGGGTTGCTGACGGCAGCGTCATTCGACCCGCAGGCGGAAGCCAAGAAGCTGGAGGACGCGGCCACCTACCTGAGTCTGCCCTCCACGAAGGCCGAGCTGGAGGAGAAGGGCCACTCGGTGACGGGCAAGAGCATGCAGAGCCTGGGCTGCTGCACCATCAGCAAGGACTCCTTCCAGATCTGCACTCTCGTCTGCTCCACGAAGCTCACCCAGAACGGTGGGTTTGGGGGCAGGTGCTCACCTGGCGGATTTTCTGCCGCCGCCCGATGCTTCTCACGCCTTTGGTTGTGCGGGGAGGCTTCTGTAGGCGCGGGACCAAGGCCGGTCACACGTGTTATCCCCGGTAATCGTCCTAGGAAGGGGTGACGTCCATCAGGTTTAAACGCCACACTCCGATTTTGATCTGAGATTGCCCTGAAAGAGAGATAAAGCAGTGGATGTACTGTCAGCAAAGCTCTTTGGCCAGGGGAAGTTGGCATGGCATAAGGTAAAATCCCCAAGACTTGGAGTCAGACGGAGGACCTGGGGTTGAGCCCTGGCCCTGCGCTAATCCTGGGAAGGACCTTGAGCTCGGGCCCGTGCACCTCACTTTCTTCACCTGTACACATTGATGCGGTGTCCACCTCAAAGGGCTTTGTGAGGGCTTGGTGTAGAATGTGAGGCTCCCGCCCTCTGTCTTCCCGTCCCCCAGCTCGTCATTGAGAAAGTTACCAGTTCTCTTTATTTTTAAAAGTTGGTTTTGAGGCCATTTCTAGTCCCCCCCAACAGTGAGATAAGGTGCCCCTCGATGATTGACGGACATCCAAGCTCAGCTGTGACCCAGCGTCAGGTGGTACCCGGTGACCCCGTGCTGGGCCGGCCGGGCCGCTCCCTGCTGTGTCTTCCTCTCTGCGGCTCCCCAGCGCCGTGGCGTCTGGCCAGGGGCACTTCTTGCTCGGAGCACACTGTCTGGCCGAGGCACAGGCGTCTTGGCGCAAACCCCCCCAAATGTCACTGCATCACAGCTGTGCAGAGTGACTCTGTGCTCTCTGGAAACTCAGCCTGACAATCCGCTTTTTCCCTCTTAGCCAGCTGCTCTGGGTTTTGATTATTAATATCTGTTGCTGTCCTGATCTGTGTCCCTGGGGCTTGTCCGTAAGTTTTGGCAGTGGTCTCGAATTTGCCCGAGGGACAGTCATCGTTTGGACTTGAACAGGATAATCATAGGACAAAAGGAAAGCCATCACCTGCTAGCTACTGCGTGGTGGCAGAAAGGCGCTGGGGGGGGGGGGGTGTGCACGCTCTCTTCAGACCTGCCGCGTCTGTGTCCTCACACCAGCCCTGCTTTCTCACCCCGTCTCGAGGGAACTGTGTGGGGGAGGGGAGTGTCACTCATGCATGGAGGTCATTTGCATGCACCTCTCTAACATGGCCCTAGAAACATTAGTTCATCCGAGACATTATGGTTGTTGTAGCTTTGGTGGTGCAGTGATCTCCATGAGAGAACGGAAACCTTACCTGGGCCCTGGCTCTGCACCTGGGCGGCGGGAAGGGCGACCACACAGAGAACTGCCGGGTTCGTACCCAGAAAGCACGCGGCCAGGGCAGGGCTGGTTTGGGCATAGATTACGGAAGGGATGCCCCACAGATCCAATGTGACTCTGGATATGGTCCGGATAGTCCCCTAGCCTGATGGCTGCACCCAGGCCCTCCCTCAGCTCAGGGCATTGGCTGCCTGTCCGGGGCGGCACCAGCCCATGCGTGTGCCCCGTAGCCCTCAGTAGGTGCCGATGACTGAGCTTCTGTGTGTTTCCGTTTTCTTTTTTTTTTTTTATCCTCACCCGAGGACATTTTTCCATTTTTTGTACAGATAGAGTGGGAGGGAGAGAGAGGAAGAGATAGAGAGAGAGAAACATCGATGCGAAAGGGACACATCGAGTGGCTGCCACCGCACGACCAACCAGGGTCGGGGACAAACTGCAACCGAAGTACGTGCCCTTAGCGGGAACCGAACCCAGGTCTCTCTGGACCGCAGGCCGACGCTCTAACCGCTGAGCCAAACTGGCCAGGGCTGTGTTTCCGTTTTCAATGTGCAGGAACCAGCATCTCATACGTGGGTCATGTTCCAGTCGTGTTCCAGAGGCATGTTTGCTACTCGAATCTATTTTCCCCACCAAACAATGTTCCGAATAGCAGTTAGGTTGTGCGACCTGCCCACAGCATCCTTCTTAACCCACATGCTCCCAGAGAGGAAGACTGTGAACCAGGAAAACCCCACTGTTCTAGAGTCACAGGAATCTCCCAGGGGGACATCCTTTCACCCCTGAGCTCCTTGAATGTCCCTGGCCCCAGGGTCATCCCTCCCTGGAGCTGAAGGAGAGAGGCACCCCGGTCTCCCAGTAGCCGTTGCTGGGCAACAAGGACATGCCGGTGTGATGCTGCTCACTCAGCAGAAGGGGGGCACCTTCTGCATTTTCTTTGGCCCCAGCCAGTGATTCCTCCTTTGGGGACGGTGGCATGTCAGGTGTACAGAAGATGAGGCTGCCCCAACATTATCCGTGGGCGCCCAGATTCTTTGGAGAGTCGTTTTTCTGAATCTGTGATTTGTTCTGTGAAGTCCATTACTTAGGGAAAAGCTGTGGCTGAATTATTCATCGCGGTTTGTATTATTATATATCTCCGTTCTCAGAAGCGTGCTGGATGCTGTGGGGATATAAAAAGACATGTAAGATGTGGTCCCTCTGCTCCGTGAGCATCCTGTATAATTAGAGAGAGAGGGGCGAGGGAACAGACCTCTTCAGGCCCCGCTGTGGTTGTGCCAGGCCGTGACGGCAGGACAGGGGAGCCTGGTCTGACCCTTTCTGAAAGCACGCTCCTCCTCCTCAGGGGTGTTCCTCCACCATAACCGGCCCCGTTGTACCTCCCCCCAAATGTACGGGGCAGAGGTGGCCTCAGCCTCCCTCATATCCACAGCCCTGTAACCGTGCAGGGGTGAGGTCTGCATGGTGCACCATCCACTAAGATACACCGGGCACGCTTGGGAGGTGGACGTCTCCCCAGACCCGGGGACGAGCGCATGTCTGGCCAGGGCACAGCCTTTCTCTTCACTTTTCATCGAAAATGAAAACGTTGACTTTCAGCATGAATGGCTCAAATTTTCAACTCCTGATCGTGTCTTTGGTGGACGATCTGCTGCCCTCAGTCTTCACCCTGGGCGTCATGCCGTTTTCTCCCCATCGTGCCATCTAACTCTTGCACCAACCCTGTGAATCGTTAGCATTGTACCCATTGTGCAGATAGGAAAACTGAGGTGAAGTTGCTTGCCCAAGGTCCTGTGGGGCGACGGGGCCCAGCGGGTATTTGAGCCCACGCTTTGCAAATCGACAATTATTTGGGATGCGGTGCCCTTTTTATGTCACCTTTTTTAACTTATTTGTCAGCTACACTGGAGGGTAGGGTCACATGGGTGAAGATGGATGTTTTAGGGCTCATCACAGGTATGCCTTTTGTGCGGTTTTACCTTCAAATTCCAATTTGGTGCCTTGTGTCCCCTGAAATCCCACCTACTGCCAGAATTGTATCTCTTTTCAATATTTTCTAGCGTTTTTCTTAGGGAGACCGTTTCTACAGCTGAAATTTATTCCTGACGAGCCTTCCCGGTAAATCAGATGCACTCTGCTAATGGTGTTTTTTCACGTACTGTGTAGTAAAATAACTTCAATGAGACTGTGTAGACACTCACTCTGTCCTAGAGATGTTCTAGATTCTGACTTCACGTCTTCAAGGACACCTGGCTGCCGTAAAGCCCTTTCCGGACCTTGTCGTCCACGTGTAGTCTGTAGAACCCAAGTAAGTCAGTCTGATTTTACAGCTAGAAAACAAACACACAAACCATGAGAAACAGCTGCGAGCTGAGCACAGAGAGGGTCCCCGTGGGCCCGGTCCCTGTCACCTCTCAGTACAGTCACCTTGAGGCATCAGGACCTGACTTTGTCAGTTCTTTCAAATTACTTTATGTAAAAGATTGAAAAACAAAAGTTTTATTCGGAAACTTGGGAGAGGATGTCAGGGCACCTGCCCTGCTGCAGATGGAGAGACCAGGTTTTCTTCCTGGGCCCCGGAGACGTTGCGAAGCTGTCACACGGCAATCACCTCCTGGTCAGTGGAGCTGGAAGTCATGCGTTCAGCCACTTCGTGTCAAGCCAGGTGCCGGGACGTAGTGCGGGATTGAGCGGGCGAAGCTTTGCAGAGAGGATGTCTGCAGGGAGGGCGGATGCCTCTGTCCAGCGGGGGGCTGGAGGACCTCGCGGGACGCAGCCCCTCGCCCCAGGGAGGCGGAGCCCGGCGAGGGCCTGACGCAGCCTCTCCTTCCAGTGGACCTCCTGGGGTTGCTGAAGTGGCGTTCCAGCACCAGCCTGCTGCAGCAGAACCTCGGGCAGCTGATGAAGGTGGACGGCGGGGAGGTGGTCAAGGTGACTCGGGCCTGGGTTCGGGGCGTCGGGTTGGTTCCCCCCCGTGGGTGGGGTGGCCGCTGCCTCCTGGGCTGGTATGCCATCTGGGTTGTCCCTTAACAAAGCGTTTCTTTGGGATTGGCGCGCCCTCCGACTGGGCAGCATCCGTCCGGGGGCTGGTCTGCTTCCTGGGGAAGGCGGTGGATTCCGCCGCCTCTTGTCCTGGGGCCTCACAGCGGGACCCACAGGAGCTCAGTCACCTCCAGCCTCAGATTCCCCGCTGTAACGTGGGTAACAAGAGTGCCTTCTTCAGAGGGTGGTTGTGGGGTCCAGTGAGATAAGGTAGCCTGTTACCTGCCACATGGGAAGTGTCATTGTCATCACCTGGCCATGGTTAGTAGCCCTGGCTCACGGCTCACCCATAGCTCCCGCAGTTGGCCTGGGGACAGGTATGGTGTGTTGGGCAGGTCAGAGCAATAGACTCTTGTCTTGGCCACTTTCTTCTCATGTGCCCTCGGACTAATCTCTTAGCCTCACACATAGCGGGCTCTGGAGAAGAAATGTTTGGTGTCCTCCCAAGTCTTTGTGAGCCCGGACAGTCAGACTAGGGCGATCTGATTCTTTTTTCAATCCTTACCTGAGGATATTTTTCCATTGATTTTCAGATAGAATTGGAGGGAGGGAGGGAGAGAGAGAAAGAAAGAAACATCTATGTGGGGGACACACCGACTGGTTGCCTCCCGCACGACCCCTCCAGCACGACCCCGACCAGAGAGAAAGGGAAAGAAAGAAACACCAATGTGTGAGATACATCGACTGGTTGCCTCCCGCACGTACCTCGACCTCAACCATGGTACGTGCCCTTGACCAGAATCGAACCCTAGACTCTTTGGTCTGCGGGCCAACACTCTCACCGCTGAGCCAAACCTGCAGGGCCGATCTGCTTCTTCACTGGGTGATTATTGGTGGTTCTGAAATTTTCCTCAATATCAGGATCTTCTTGTCTTTTATTTGCCCAAGTAACTTACACACATGGAAACACATTTAGGTTTTCAGTATGTCCCCTTTGGCCGGTGGATATATGACACTGGTCCCCCACTTGGGGAGTTTCATGGTCGAGGTCTCGACAGCCTGTCGCTGTCCCAGCTCTTGCCCGTCCCCAAGAGGTGCTTGCCAAAGGAGACTGTCTTATCTCTGTAAAAATTAATTACATAAAGTAGCCTTAATTAAACGGCAATATGGTCCACGTCAGAATAAATTAATTCCGTTGCACCGTTTTCCTAACTTCGTTGTACAACCATTGAAACGTAATCTCGCTCATCATCTTCACGGGCCCTCGTTGGCTTCCGCGGCTGGACCCCGTTAATCGCATTTTAAAGTTCCCTGGGTTCTGTGAATTCCCTGATTCGGATGGAAGCTGGGCGAGCAAGTTAACATAACTTTAGAAGACACACGGTTGATGAAATCCTGTCCCTTGTCATTTTTAAGTCCCGTGTCACCTCCGGAATTAGTTGTATTTCTGTTTGACCCATTGCCACCCTTGCCAGGGGACATCAAGAGCCCTCTTATCTGGTTCTCCCCTCTCCTGATCTAATCTGTTTCCAAATCTGATTGCTCATCGCTGGACACGCTTTTCCCTTCTCGCCCTCTGTCCCTGTGCGCACTGGGACCGCTCAGGCCGGTGACCTGTCCATCCCTCACCTCACCCGTCTGGTGTTCCCTTGGCCAGCAAACCCTGTAGGCCCGGAGAGGTGAATCGACTTTTCCAAGGCCACACAGCTGTTACTGGGAGCCAGGACTGGAGGGATCCCCAGCTTGCTTGGGGGCTCCTTTCACTCCAATGAAGGACACTGATAACCTGTGGGTTATTTCCATTCCTTCTGTATATTTATAACTAGTAATCGAGAGATGACATTGCTTGATAGATTGAGAAAAGTACTTGCTTTTTTAGCAAAAGATACTGTCTCCCATTTTGGTGAAAAATGAAAACAGTGACTTTGGTTCTCAAGGGATAGTCTTAGAGAGAGAGTGGCTGTCCAAAGAAGCCCTTTCCCAGCCCCGCCTGTGGGGGGACCTCCTTCGAGGTGCTCGCATCCCCCATGCACTGCAGCTACACACAGGTTAGCGAGCCACGGCTCTCTGCAGTCACGCTCTGTGCTATGAGCATGTCACTTTCTGGGGAGACCTGCTGCAGGGACTCGGGGTGAATGGGACGAGCCAGGGCTTGGCACCTGGACAGTCTGTTGGCCGTGACATTGGGCTCTTCGCAGATGGCAAAGTTTTGACCTTTGCAAAGATCAAGCAATGTGAAGAGGGTGGGAAAGGATGCAAAAGTAGTTGCCATTGAGCTCTTTGTCACCGGACTGATGGAAACAGGAAAGGGTTGGACAGGTCCCGTGGGAGGGGACCTCGGAGCCTCCCCTGCTGCCGCCAGCCCCGTTGCTCGGCTCAGCATGCCCATGTCCTTGTTCTGAAGTCACTAATCTCTGGTTTTTGTCTTGTGCATGAAAATGGCTGGAAAAATCCCTAAAGCGAATAGCGTCAGAGGTGACCTCTGGGAAGGGGGGATGAGCATTGCAGGGCTCGCGTGGGGCGGGGGCAAGCGGTCTGAGCTCACTCTCTCTGGCCCCTGTGTCTGCAGTTTCTCCAGGACACCTTGGACGCCCTGTTCAACATCATGATGGAGAACTCCGAGAGCGAGACCTTTGACACGCTGGTGTTTGATGCCCTGGTAAGAAGCCACTGCGTTTCCCGTGGGCAGAGAGCGGGATGTACATTCATGCTGCCGCCTTTGCGGCTGGGGCAAGGGGACCCATCGTGGTGACCTTGAAAGCACTGCCCTGTTCATCTCATCAAAGCAGATGAACAGAGAGCCAGAGGTCTCTTTCAGTGATGCTCTAGTGAGACAAGTGCGGTTTCTAGGGCAAGAAGAGGCACTGACCCGCTTCTGTCGGAAAATCGTGTTGTTCCTCGAGTCACACGGAGCAGATGATCCCGATGAAGTCTCCAAAAGGGTCTGCATTACCATACTAATGAAAGTATTGGTGACTGTCGCAGGTATTCATCATCGGACTCATTGCTGATAGAAAATTCCAGCATTTTAACCCCGTTTTGGAAACCTACATTAAGAAACACTTCAGCGCAACTTTGGCCTACACGTAAGTGGTCCTGGTGGTTTCAAAACCAAACCTTTCCCTGTGTGTGTGTGTGTGTGTGTGTGTGTGTGTGTGTGTTAGTAAGAGTCTGTCCTGTGCTTTTGTCTGTGATCATACATCCCCCTTCTCAGAACTCTGAATTGGCTGGGAGTATTTTCATTGTCGTTTCCCTCTGAACAGGACACACAGTCTTGTCAGCGAGGTATGTGGTCAAGGACCGTAGCCTTCTGGAATTCCTTCTTTCTGTCCTCCAGGTCTTCCGCTGGAGACGCTCAGTTCGTGTTGGACGACACTGAGGGACGGGGGCGGGGTGGCCATCCCAGGGTGGCTTCTCAGGGAGACTGTGCTGAATGAGGGGTGCAGGGGTTCTGGTTCGGAGATGACTGGTTCGGTGATACTTTTCAGTAGAGCTTTTTGCTCTTTAAAGAATGCCTTTCTCTCCGGCCGGTGTGGCTCGGGTTGAGCGTCAATCCGTGCACCAAGAGGTCACCGATTCGATTCCTGGTCAGGGCACATGCCCAGGTTGTGGGCCCGATCCCCAGTGGGGGGCATGCAGGAATTGGCCATTCGATGTTCTCTCTCATCAATGTTTCTCTCCCTTCCTCTCTCCCAAAAAAAAAAAAAAAAAAGATCAATAAAATATATTAAAAAAACAACAAATTTTGTTCCGTCAGTGGAGATGCCCAGTTTGCCTGCAATTTGGACAGTCCCTTAAGGACTGTGGGGAGGGCGAGTTCGTGTCCCCATCGCGCTCTGGCAGGGCAAACAGCCGGCCAGTGTGCAGGAGCGCCCGTGTGCGGCCCTGAATGGATATGGTCCCCGGTGCGTCACTTACGCAGTTCCGCTCTTTCTTTCTTTATTTTTAATCTTCACCCGAGGACATTTTTCCATTTGTTGTTCAGATAGAGTGGAAGGGAGAGAGAGAGAGAGAAACATCGACGTGAAAGGGACACATCGAGTGGCTGCCACCCACACAACCCAACCAGGGCCGGGGACAAACTGCAACCGAGGTACCTGCCCTTAGCGGGAGCCAAACCCCGGGTCTCTGGACCGCAGGCCGACGCTCTAACCGCTGAGCCAAACCGGCCAGGGCCAGTTCTGCTCTTTCACTGAACAGTGGCCAAACAGCTGTCCTCAGTTTGGACTTTGCACTTAATTTCTGAAAATCAGGACCACGTGTCCGCATGTTGCACTTCGCCCCTGGGGCCCGCGGAAGGAACGCAGCGCTGATTGATTCTCAGGGGCCGCGGGAACATTGGGGCGCTGTGGCCGATCAGTCAGTGGGAGAAGCAGAAAGTACCATTTGTCTTTCAGCGGTGACGCAGTGGCGCTGTGACCCAGTGTCCCCTGCTTCAGTTGCTGTAGTCTGCGGACAAGGGCATTTTCATTTTGGAGGAGTGTTTGTATCCTGTTCTGAGAAACGAACAAGGCCGGTTTGAACTTTACTTACACCTGGAAAACCAGTGGCGCTTGCTGGGATGCACCCGGGTTGACCACGTGCCAGGCCGGTGCTACTGTTACCCGGGAAGTCTCCCCCGCCCCAAGGCCGGGGCGTGTGTGAGACCCTTGTGCTGGTGGTTTCTCTACCTCCTTCCTTGACAAAGGCTGAGCATTTTAGCCTTTCTTTGCAAAGACCTCCAAGAGAAGTTAAAGACGACCGTAGGCACCGGGCCCCGACTCTTCTACAGACCTCTGCACAGGTCATCCATGGGGCCGGGCCTCATCAGAGTGACCAGTGCCGGTCTGGGGGGAGGGAGGGCACCGTCAGCTTAGGGACCACTCTGCCCGAAGAGCAGCAGGCCGGCTGCTTTCCGCCCCCCAGGTCTTTTCCCGGAGCTGGTCCAGGCCCCTCCCACTCCGTCCGCGCCCCCACGCTGGGCCGTGGAAGGTCCCCTCGCTGCAGCAAGCTCTCCCGGGCCACCCTGTATGAGGAGCTGTGTGCTTTTTCTGTGAAATCTCCGTAATGTAGAAAAATATTTAACACAATGTAAGATCCGCTTGTGATAAAACTTCCCAGCACACTAGGAATAGAGGGATCATCTCCTGTCTGACAAAGAGCCCCTAAGAGAATGCACCGCTAAGCCTCGATGCTGAAACACGGACAGCTCCCCCCACGTCCGGGAACAAGGTGGGGTGTCTGTTGTCACCCCATCTGTGCATTACTGTGCTCCATGTAAAGCGGAAAAATAACCGAAAGTGTAACCATTGGAAAGAAAGGAGGAAAGCTGTCTTTATTTCACAGATGTGAGTACGTACTGATGAAACCCTAGCGGATCTTTTCTTTAAAAGCCCCCCCCCCCAAAAAAACGTACTAGAGCTGGGAGTAAACTTAGGAAAGTTTAGGTCCAAAGCTAGCATAGAAAACTCAAATGTACATATGCAAAGAACTGGAACATGAACTACACTATAATTTACCATATTATATATATAAAAAAATCATTAAATACCCTGGAGTACATTTAATAAATGCTAGGTCAGACTTTTAAAAGTGACAAAACATTGCTGAGAGAAATTCTAAAAGAATGAAATAATTAAAGTATTGCCCAAATGTGCATTTTCCCCAAATTAATCTATGGTTGAACATAATCCCAATCAAAACCTAAGCATGCTTTGTGGAAAAAAATGACTAGCCTCTTTGAAAACGTATATAGAAATGCAAAATGTCTAGAATAGTCCGAGTAATTTTTCAAAAGAAGACTCTGATTTCAAGTCTTACTACAAAGCTGCAGAAACTAACTGTGTGGTTGGCACGGAGGTGGACCAAGGACGATGGGAAGAGAATGTAGACTGAAGAAGCCTCCCCTCCCCTCGGTTTTCTTTGAAAAGAAACACTGTAACTGGCCACGTATCCATGTTTGTGATGCTGTGGCATCTCCTCCTCTGGCCCCCACCTTTCTATTTAACATCTGCAATATTGTGTTGTAAGGCTGTATCATACGTTACTTACCCAGTGCTCAAGTGATAGACTTTGGCACTGTTTATGAACATCTACCATTGTAGACGTTACTATAATCAACATCCTTCAATATTTATACTTGTTTCTGTAGAATAAGTTACAAGTACAACTGCTGGAGTGTAAGGATTTGAATATTATTCATTGTGACCAATGTCTCCAGTTTATTGGCTGAAATATCTCTTACCTGTTACCCAATCAGCAGAATCCCCGCTTCCCCTCATCAAGTCTGATCACCGTATTTTCAGTCTTTTCTGTTTATCTGAGTATATTCGGCTATTTACTTCTTGTTATTTTAAATGGCATGCATTTATTTATTAGGGAAGCTGATTTTTTGTGGTTCTAGACTTTTTCAGTGATATACCTGGACATGGCCTCTTAGACTCCATTTCTTTGTTTATTTATTTATTTTTTTCTTTATTGATTTTAGAGAGAGAAGAAGGGAGAAGGAGAGAGAGATAGAAACATTGATGAGAAAGAACATCAATTGGCTGCCTCCTGTATGTCCCCCACTGGGGATTGGGCCCACAACCTGAGCATGTGTTTTGACAGGAATCGAACCGGTGACCTCTTGTGCATGGGTTGATGCTCAACCACTGAGCCACACCAGCCAGACTGTTTTTAACAAACCTGTTTTTAATGAACCATCTTATACACTCCGATGCTTTGAGCAAATTTACTAGCATTTGAACTTTCTGGTTATTTGAATTACAGAAAAACAGAAACATTTTCATGCTTTTTCTTTGATATGTAATGGATTAAAAAAAAAAAAAAACTACCTATGATTTATGCACTTAATCTAATTTATAAACCTGTGAATGAAAATCAGCCTTTAAATATGTACTTTATTTGTACTTACTGTCTGCAATTACTTATGTAATAGTATGACACATTTAAAAATAAGTCTGACCAATTTAGGTATATTGTAAACTATATAAACTTCAATGATCCCGAAAAAGGTTTTAAATGTTTTCTTGTTAGGGAGTTACTTGTTTTTCTTTCGGAATTTGTAAAGATACAGACTCTAAGAGGAGTATAGTCATTATATTTTTACGACTAAATGTGTGCAATTCTATTAGAAAATGTAAAAAATTACCAAACTTTCCAGGTAATGCCCATGTTGTTCTCATATATTGTTTATAGTCTTTTATATAAAGTTTCTTAGAAAACTCATTAAAAAATCAGGAATGTTTCTTATTTGAAAAATTGGTTATCCAATTTTTATTTTGAGTGTAAATAGTCTCGTTTTAGAAAATGAACTGCAGGTTGTGAAATGGTTCCCGATAACAAACACTATGTCAGGCGATGCCCTTCGAAAATATAGCTAAAAGCCACCTCACACCAAATGTAACATTTTAAACCATTGTCAAGGGTACAGTCCCGTCTATACTTTCAGCACGTAGTAGATTCAGTGCTGTGAGAACAGTATCTCGTTGCAGACTGTTTTCAGACTCGTTTTGCAAAGATTTGCTTGTGCCTCTCCTGGCTGGGAAGAAAGGCCTCGGATCTTTTTATTTCATGCTGGGAAGCGAGTCGACCTGTGCAAACCTGGGCGTGCCCTCTGCAGATCAGCAGTAGTATCCGCTCCTTGCCTTACAGTGCTGCTGTGAGAATTAAATTAGGTGATACACTAAAATGCTTAGAAAACATCTGCAGCGGAGAACGCGCGCGTTGCATGCTCAGATCCCACTCTTCGGAGAGTCGTTGTATGGGTGGGTCCCTTTTCCTCTGCTTCAGCGCATTTTACAGAGGTGCATTCCTGACAGATGGGAGGCGAAGTAACAAAAACCCACGTGCGTGCTTCCGTCCGAGTTGAGAATTGAGGCGCCGTGCTTTCGGGGGGATTGACTTGTGTTTCCGTTACGAGCAGGAAGCTGACGAAGGTCCTGCGGAACTACGTGGACAACGCGGAGAAGCCGGGCATCAACGAGCAGCTGTACAAGGCCATGAAGGCCCTGGAGTACATCTTCAAGTTCATCGTGCGCTCCCGGGTGCTGTTCAACCAGTAGGTATCGCCCGGCTCCCGGAGGGCTTCCTCCCTCCCTTCTCCCAGCCCTCCGCTCCCCCCTTTTCTTTCTCCTCCTCCTCTTTTCCCTTCCTTTCCTGGCTTTCTCGGAGGGCAGAGCAGTGATGGACACCGGCTGGGGCGGGGTGGCCACTTCTGCCGGCAGGTGCAGAGAGATGCGACAGAGAAGGTGGCCCAGCTCCCTGCTAGCGAAACAGTGTCCCCGGGAGATGTCGACAGGGCCCCAGATGTCGTGCCGGGTCATTCCAAGGGGGCCGAAGTCATGTTCACTGCATCTTAAACAGCAGATAGCTCCCCGAGAACAAACAACACGAATACAACCAGCAGCCAGGAAACGCCACGCCACGTCAATGGCCACGTCAATGGCCTCGCGTGGGAAGACGGCGGGGCTTCCTCCCTTCAGCCGCAGTGTTGTATTCCCAGAGAGGCGTCCCCACGCAGGAGATGGCCACGCGGAGGGGCCGCTTAGTGCTGGCGCTCAGTGACGTTTCTCCTGCTATCTGGTCGGATTTGAATGGTTTTTGAACTTGATGACGTGAATGGGAACCTTTCTGACGTCACTGCTTGATAGAGAATGTTGATACTGGTGTCCAGAGATCCCCCGGTCAAGGGCTGTGCCGAGATAAGGGACTTGCAGATGTCCACGGTCGTTCCCCGAAGGGGTGTGCCAAGCAGGTGCACATTGTCGGTGTTGGATCGACTCCCGCCTCCTGTTTCCTCTGGGGGACATAGCTTTGGGGGACGCCCTCGGGGCCATGGTGCCTGCTCGTCCTCGGCGGTTGATGTTTTCAAAGGTCGTGAGTTCTAAACCCAGATTGATTTCACGAGCCAGTGTCCCGCAGGATTAGCGAACACGGCACCTTTTACAAGCACAGCACTCTGGGAACCTGGTGTGAACTGGGGGACAGGGTTGAGCCAGTGGGGACCTAAGTTCATACCTACCTATTTCCTCTTCACGCTACCTGTTTGCCTGAGGGAGCTCTCTCCAGAAGAGCCCAGGAGGAAGGGGGGGTATTCCGAACCCAACTACTGCGCACCAGGGAGCGGATGGAGCCCTCGGAGGATGTCCTTCCCCTGTGCAGAGCTAGGAAGTCACGCACAGGGTGGTGCCCCATTGATCAGTGGATACAGCTCCCGTATTCCTGGTCAAAGGATTGATTGTGCCGTGGTCCCCGGGTCTCGTGATTAAAGCGATAATTGCTCCACTGCTGTTTTCACTCACCGTGCTCTTGTCTTCGGCTGGAACTCAAAGGTGCGCGCTTTTATTTTGTGGATTATGGACAGGAAGGGACCTTGATGTGGACCGAAACCTTCTCTTCCTAAGGTCGAAGCCATTGATTTTCTTACTCAGATGTGAGAGATGACCAAGTGCACTAGGCTGTGTTTTCCCGTATTTTCTTTTCTTTAGAATTAATCCTGTTGAAGTGAACTTGTCCCCCTCCCTCTCGATCCTGTACACCCCCTGCTGATTTGGAGCTTGAAGGCGTCTAAGCCGAAAGCTGCGCTGAGGGGAGAGGGTCACGTGAGAGACTAGAACCACTAGGGGCCACGGGACCAATCTGGTCTTGTTTGATTTGAGCCAGTTTTGATCTTGGACAGTTTCTGATCGATAGGCATTGTACCAGGGGCTGGCGGATGCCTGCCTCCTCTCCAAACACCCTGGAACATCCCTTCTCATCCGGGATTAGTGAGCATGCATTGGGCATCGCTGCCTTCCTGCGACTGTGATACATGCCAGGATCTTGTGCAAAATAATGCTGCGTAGACAAGATTGGGGTCACCCAAATGGACCAGTGACAGGATTCTCTGTCTCCTTCATCTCTTTCAATCTCAAAATACAAGTGGCATGAGATCTTAGAATTATGATCCATAAAAGTTCTTGAGTTTGTTGGTATAGTTATCAGGAATATGACTGGCTGCCTGTCATAGAAAACCCTAGAATCCTTACCAGATGAGGTTTCCCTTCCCTTCCCCTCCCTCCCTCATGTCCTTTTCACCCACACAGCATGGAGTTCAAAGGTCATGCATTTGTCCCGTGGTGACCTCGTGTTCTTGGTTCCTTTTATCTCTCTGCCCCACCATCCTGAGGGTCTTTTGTTTTTACTCATGGCCCCAAGTGGCTGCTGCCCCTCCTGGCATCAGGACTGCATTCCAGGCAGCAGGGAGGAAAGGTCACTCTTCTTTTAAAGCACTTTCCCCAGTCCATACAGAGCCATGTGCTTTATGTCATTGGCCAGAAGTATGTCCCACGAGCACTCTAGAAGCAAAGGATATTGGAAGGGATTTTCACAAAAGCATATTGATGCTTTTAGTAAAATCAGAGTTTTTTTTGTTTTGTATTTTTGTGGTACATGCCCCTAGCAGGAACCGAACCCAGGACTCTCTGGTCCACAGGCCAATGCTGAACTGCTGAGCCAAACTGGCCAGGGCCAAAATCAGATTTTTTTTAGTAAAGAGTAAATATACATCGGATGGGCAGTTAACATTTTCTTCTTATACTTCTGACCCAGAAGTTCTGTGGCCTGACAGCAGAGGACGTCCCTAATTTACTCCGGGTTATTAAATCCTCCTGAATTAGGCTCCTCGAGTCTCTCCTCTCTTAGTTTGCCGGTCAGTCTTCCAGACTCCTGTCTCCGAGCGTCTCTGGGTGTAAATCACTGAGCCCCAAGCCACCCCCAGGCGTGAATCAGTCCCACCGGGTGGTGTGGAAATGGAGTGAGATGCCCGGCAGCCCCTTGTCCAGCACCTGGGAAGTGTTTCACGTTTGGCATCCCTGGCGTTGCCTGGCAGCAGACTGCTGGCCCCCACCGTGGTCCCCGTGCCAGCCTTTTATCCTGGACTGGCCCTAGCAGGAGGTTCTTTGCTGGGAGAACTTGTTTGTCCAAAGAGCTGACACTGTCCAGGAGAGTAAGTGCAGAGAGGTCAGAGGTCAAGAAGTAGCAACTGTCAAAAGGCAGTGAAGCTTCCCCAGCCGTCCAGCGCCCCTGTCTGGGCGTGCCTGACCTCATCCACAAGGTATGAAGTGGTCCCGGGACTTCCGTGGACCGGATCCCTCCCTCGCTCCTTTGCTCCTTCCTTCCTCTGTGAGCTCGTGCTGAGCTTTGGAGCCTGCCTGCAGCCAGACTGGAGTCATTTGTCGACCTTATTTTTTCCTCTAAAAGTTTCATAAACGTGCATCCTGCCGGCCTCCGCTAGTTCTTGAGTGCAGAGAAGGACACAGGTTCCTTTGCAGCTTAGAGCACAGTGGTAGCCACAATGTGTCAATGTAACACTTCTTACATTTAAATCTGTAGGCTGAGTCTGCTGACGAGCTGTTACAGTATCTTAGAGATTCTAGGGTAGTAGAAAATCCCAGCCTCAAAATCATGGACAATAGTCATGTCCCATTGTCCTCCTCAGCCAACCCCCTTCCCACTCCATCCTGCTTCTACTGTTCTTCATCTGAGATACCAGAGATGTCCATTTTAGATGAAATGGTATTCCTATTTTGTGTAGGCTGCTTAAAGAAAAAGCAGTCCTGTGTCCTAGACAACATTTGATCGTGGTGTGGTGCTTCAGAGAGGGGGGACAGAAGGAGCCAGAGCCCCTGTTTTCTTGGTTGCAACACATTTATTACCTTGGGAGAAAACAGCTGTGCTCATGGCTGGAATTAACAAGTAGAGGTTTTTTTTTTTTTTGTGCAGAACAGTCTGCCGTATTTTCTTATAACGTGGTAGCTTCATAAAATTCCAGGGTAATTGGCAGTAATTATTCTTCTAGAGAACAAAGAGGTGAAACTCGGGAGATGAAGATACTGAAGCTTATTGTGACCCTGCTCTCTTTCCCACCAAGCACATCCATACTTGTTGCTTTGTTCAGAAAGCTCATTTTGTTTCGTAATGAGAACAGCCGTTTTAACACTCTGGTCCAAAGACGCCTGGTTCCCCCGGGGAACCCGAGGAAAGATTCCTGACAGCCAGGGGCATTTCTGCTGGTTTATGTTGGTCTGTGTTTTCTGTGTGGGTGGATCGCATTAACCAGAGAGCCGGCAAGCAGACACGACCTGATCAGACCTTCTGAATCTGATGACTAGAGCTAGCCGTCACGGCGCCCCCCGCCGTCTTCCCTGGCTTCGCGGAGTTCTTGCCTGTCATCTGGTGTGAGCTTTGTGCATAATTAGTTATTGATCATGAATGAGCGGTCACAGAGCTGCTGCTCTGCTCTCATTTCCTGGGTAACGAAAGTGAGATGTGGGTTCCAGGCAAAGATCTTGTCATTCCTCGTTAAATGAAAACTTAAGATGTTAAGTAGAGCAAGAAATGACGACTGGGTTTTTCTGTATAAAATCTTTATTGTTGAAAGGATTACAGATGTCTCCCCCCTGCCATTGAACCCCTCTTTCCTGCACCCTCTCCGCTCCTGGTTTCCCCAAACTACTGTCTGTGTCCGCTGGTTGTGCATCGATGCATGTAAGTTCTTTGGTTTATCTCTTCCCAACCTCCCCACCCTCCTTCCCTCTGAGGTTTGTCAGTCGGTTCCCTACTCCCATGTCTCTGGGTCTAGTTTGATTGACAGCTTATTTTGTTTGGGATGTTCCATGAATATGTGAGGTCATGTGGTGCTTGTCTTCCAGGGACTGGGTTGTATCCATCTATTTATGTACTGATATCCTCGGCTTCCCCTCACACCTTCTGCCTTCAGGTGGCTCAAACGGGTGACTCTTTGCTTTATCTGCTAAACCCAGAGGTGAAGCCCTGGACACCTCCCTGTCGTTACAGAAATATGCTTTACGTCGTTGACTTCATCTTTGTGTTTGAAGGATGTTTCCGTGTGATCTGGGGTTCTAGTGGGCAGTTAATTTCTTCCTGCCCCCTTTTGGTTTCCAGAATGTCCGGTGAGAAGTCAGCTCTCGGACTTACTGTTGCATCTTCGAAGGGAATGGAGTTTTCCTTTTCCTCTAGCTGCTTTGGCAGTTTCCCTCTTTTCCTGCCATTATTAGCGGTTTTGACTATGGATTGCATACCGACACTATGCTTTTCATTTATCCTTCTGTTTCCAGACCGCTGCCGCGCTGGGGGCTGGTAAGATCCAGGGTCTTCCGCGTGTCAGGAGACCTCCAGGTGCTTGATGTGCCCTGGAAAGATTTCAGGGATGAATTGGAGTGGGAATAAAGCAAGTTTTATTCAGGTGGAGACAAAGAAAGAAGCCAGGGTACTGGTGCTGCAAAAAGTATGGAAGAAGGGAAAAGTATCCATGCCTAAGTGCTCGTGGTCAGCTGGTGCTGGCATTTCTGTGTTTCTGGGGGCTTGTCTCCCAGCTCTGTGGCACCGAATTCCGACTGCCTTCCCCTTCAGAGGGTTCTTGTCCCTAATGAGGTCCGAGGAAGTGGCATGGCCTTCGTCCCCAGCGGCCCCCTTCTACTTGAGGTGTCAAGTTTCATTATAATAATGGCTTAAAGAGCTTTGGGGGTCTTGCTTTGGTTAGTTGCACCTCTATCTTGGATTAGTCTGGCTCTCCATTCTTTGTTTTTGTCATCTATCTCCCGGACTGAGGCGATTTGAACCGTTTGCTCTTAGATATCTATGGTTAGCGAAAAGTAGCTGGCTGTTAATTGCTCAGCTATCCCGGCCATTTGGTTCGGCCATTTGTCTCAGTTTCCTTATTCCGCTTGCCCGGGAATTCCTAGTTTCTTACTACCCTGTCTCGCTGTGTTGATTTTCAGAGCTTCTTGGATTTTGGGTTGATGCCTTTTATTCATGTTGGAAAATTCACGGCCGTTATCCATCCCCATGTTGCATTTCTCTGTTGTATCTCTCATTTTCCTGCAAATCTCCAACCCTCTGCATTTTCCATGTTGGTGCTTATTTCCCTGTTGACTGTCTTCCATTTCAGTAATTCTGTCTTTTACTCTAATCTAAATTTTAACCTATGTAACGACATCTTAATTTCAAATATTATATATTTTCTTAGTTTTAGAGCTTTCATTTGATTTTTTTCTTCTAAAATTTACATCTAAGCCTCTCTTCTCTCCATCTCTTTATTTTCCATATTTCTGTCTTTCTGTTTCTCTACCTTTTCTTCTTTGTTTTAAAATATAGTAGTTATATTTATTTCACATTATTGTTTGGTAATTACAGTATCTTGTTCATCTGTGGCTTTTTCTAGTGGCTTTTCTTCTTCTTTGATTGGCCATTGGTCTGGTCTTTTGCTGTGCTTAGTGATTTGTGTTTCAATGCAGGACAGTGTACATGTAAAAGTGTAAAAGCTCCAGGGGTTGTGACCTCCTTTCAGAGATGATTCGTCCTTCCCCTTGTAGGCAGAGGATGTGGGGCTGAGCCCCTTACTGGATGGAGGCTGTGTAGGGTCAAGGCTCAGGGTGGCCTTGCTAAGCCTCAGTCTACAGTACTTTGCTGCTGGTGCTCCAGGGTTTGCAACATAGAGTCTGCTGTGGCTTCTGGGGCCCCCTCCCTGGCATTATCCAGACTCTATTCATTATCTCTGGACACTAGTAAAAACTCTGCTCTGATTTATGGAGATTTTCATTGTGGTCTTTTTCTCCTAACCCATATAGTTGTAGGAATGGGCAGATATCCTGAGGGGACCGAATAACTGCCTGTCTGAAGGCTCACAATTGCATCGGTCCGCCAAGCCCTGCTCCCTGTCACCTGCAGCAGAGGTTCATGACGCGTGATTTTAATCGTTTAGTATGCCCTTGAAACCAACGTCTATTTGAGAACCCTTTGCAAAACAGATGCACTAGGTTGTAATTTCCCATTTTAGACAGTTTTTTGCTTTACAGTGGAACTCATTTAAATATAAGATTGCCTCTAGCATAGTTAATTATTACTTACTTTACAAAATTTTCCATTGCACACAAGTTTTCAGGTATGATATAGTTTTAATCAGGCAGAAAACTAGTCTATATTAATAAAGCACGTGAGTTGCAACATTTTAAATTGCAAATGCATTGCTTCTTAGTAACAGCAACTTGAAGTAACTGCTAATACATAATTTATAGATGAAACTTATTTACAATTAACAATACATATTTGCATATGTGTAACCAATACCCAGCCTTCCCATGATCCATTTATTGAATATGCTGCACCTCTTTAAAGTTTTCCCACAAGCACCAATTCTAGGATGAATGAATTTGGATAGTAACATTTTTCTCAAATATTTTTGAGTTGACTATTATGATATGACTTTTCAGATGGTTATAAGATTACATTACATTTAGGCAATTAAGTGTCTTTGTGACTCAGTTATGTGATATTAGAAGCTTAAAAACACTGGCAGGAAATACACCAAAATATCAGTGAGATCACTTCGGTGGGGTAGAATGAAAGCTGAATTTCTCCATCCTCCTTCCTGCCCTTTCTCTCTTTTTTACCTCCTTCCTGCCCTTTCCAGACATTTCTGTGTTTTTCAGGTTTATAAACTGTATTCTGTTACAGTGAGAACCACAATACCCAGTGTGGTTAAACGTCAGCTCCATCGGGGTGAAGGGGTCTCCATAGTTGGGTGGTCCAGAGCAGTGGGGTTTCCAGGCCGCCCACCTGGTTCAGGGATGTGGAGGGCATTCACCCCCATTCTTTTTTTTTTATCCTCACCCGAGGGCATTTTTTTTTTGATATTTTGTTCAGATAGAGTGGGAGGGAGAGAGAGAGAGAAACATCAATGTGAAAGGGACACATCGATTGGTTGCCACCCACACAACCCAACCAGGGCCGGGGACAAACTGCAACCGAGGTACATGCCCTTAGCGGAACCGAACCTGGGTCTCTCGGGACCGCAGGCTGATGCTCTAACCCCTGAGCCAAACCGGCCAGGGCGGCATTCACCCCCATTCTAACGTGTCCCCCAAGCAGCCCCCGCACAGCTGGAGACGCAGGGGCCCGAAGTCGCGGCGCTGCGGCCGGTCCCTGAGCGGTGTGTTCCTTTCCAGACTCTATGAGAACAAGGGCGAGGCCGACTTCATGGAGTCCCTTCTGCAGCTGTTCCGGTCCATCAGCGCCATGATGAGCAGCACGTCGGACCAGACCTTCAGGGTGAAGGTAGGCCCTCGTTTGCCGCCGTGCCCACGCTCAGGCCCGCTGTGAGCTGCAGGCTCCCGCGCCGGAACGTGCGCGGAAGGCCCGGGAGCGGCCTTTGTGGTGACGGTGGCCACTCTCCCCGGGGAAGGGAGTGGATTTTCCTTCCTCTGCAGGCTCTTCCATCCTGCCTTTGCTGCGTCTGCTCCTGGCAAGGAGAGGTTCTGAATTCACTTTATGCAAATGTGGGGGAGCCGATGAGAGTAGTGTGGTCAGGTGTCAGTGTCTGAGAGATGTGGGGGGCTGTCGGGGCCCCGGCTTCCATCAGACCCCAGACTATGTCCATCAAGCGGTATTGGGTCTGCGCCCTTCGTGCACCTTACGCCTGCGCAGGAGAGCGAGGGGTCGGGTCTGCGCCTTTCGTGCACCTTACGCCTGTGCAGGAGAGCGAGGGGTCGGGTCTGCGCCCTTCGTGCACCTTAACGCCTGCGCAGGACAGCGAGGGGTCGGGTCTGCGCCCTTCGTGCACCTTAACACCTGCACAGGAGAGCGAGGGGTCGGGTCTGCGCTCTTTGTGCACCTTACGCCTGCGCAGGACAGCGAGGGGTCGGGTCTGCGCTCTTTGTGCACCTTACGCCTGCGCAGGACAGCGAGGGGTCGGGTCTGCGCTCTTTGTGCACCTTAACGCCTGCGCAGGACAGCGAGGGGTCGGGTCTGCGCTCTTTGTGCACCTTACGCCTGCGCAGGACAGCGAGGGGTCGGGTCTGCGCCCTTCGTGCACCTTACGCCTGTGCAGGACAGCGAGGGGTCGGGTCTGCGCCCTTCGTGCACCTTAACGCCTGCGCAGGACAGCGAGGGGTCGGGTCTGCGCCCTTCGTGCACCTTAACACCTGCACAGGAGAGCGAGGGGTCGGGTCTGCGCTCTTTGTGCACCTTACGCCTGCGCAGGACAGCGAGGGGTCGGGTCTGCGCTCTTTGTGCACCTTACGCCTGCGCAGGACAGCGAGGGGTCGGGTCTGCGCCCTTCGTGCACCTTACGCCTGCGCAGGACAGCGAGGGGTCGGGCATTCCCAGGTCCTTCTCTTCTCATCACCTTGGTTACCTGTTCTCGCCTTTGGGAAGAAAGATGCCTTCATCCCTCCTGGGGTCTGAGTGCTCTTCAGGACCCCGGCGTGGGGAGGTGCCAGGAGGTGTCAGGAGGTCCCTGTAGCATTCCCCGGCCCTGCACGCCCTCCGTGCCCTGCCGCCCCCTGGGGGTGCGCAGTGCGATGCCCGGCCTGGGCTTTGCCCAGAGCCCTGGTTCTCCTGCGGCCCCGTTTCCTTCTACGCTATGTGGGATCCAGGGGCTCCACGGTGCCTTCCGTGGCGGGGGAGCCGTCTCACGCTCAGAAGCCATCTGTCTGCTCTCATCGCCTGTCCTTCCCTTGGCATGGGGCCAGTGGCCGAGTCCTCCGCCTTCCGCCCAGGCCGCCGGGGCACTGCTGAACCAGCCTGTGGGATGTGGGCACCATCCCGCAGCGGGAGGGAGCATTTGAGCCCGAAAGTGTCCCTGGAGCAAACACTGCAGTATTTTCTTCCCTCCCTGTCTTTCCTCCTCCTCTCTCCCCTCCCTCCGTCATTCTCTCTCTTTCTCTCCCTTTTCCTGAGGGTTGGGGCTGTGGCTTGTGTCAGTTGATCCGGGAATGACGTCAACGCCAAGCAGGGCCCTGTTTCATCGTTGGAGAGGACAAGGATGAGACGGCTTGGACGGTGACCTTCCAGGTCGCCTCGTCGGTGTGGGGGGACACTTGTGGAACCAGAACATTGATGGCCGAGGGTCGTGGCTGCACTTGCCTGAGAGCCGGCATCAGGCCAGTCCTTCTGGAGAGTGCTCCGTGGATAGGCGAGAGGGCCGGACGGCAGGCAGGGGAGGGACAGGCAGGCGGGGGGTCAGTCCCCTAGTGGCGCTGTGACCAGGGCTGCAGGCAGAGCTCCTTGCAGACGTGGTCCCCCCTCAGCTCCTCGGGGTGACGGGCTTGTCCGCGCGGCACTGCTGTCACAGAACCACGGATGGCAGGCTCATGAAGCTTTTGTTCCTCACTGTTCTGGAGGCTGGCATCCAGGATCAGGGTGCCCTCGGGGTCGGGTTCCGGTGAGGACCCTTCCTGGGTGGCCGATGGCAGTTTCTCACAGGGCAGAGAACAGGCAGGAAGCACCTTTCCTCGGGGTCCTTAGAAGGCAGCTTGGTGTCCTCACCTAATTCCAATTCCTTCCCAGAGGCTCTGCCTCCTGACGTGTCCCAGTGGAGGTGGGGTGTCGGCATATGGATTTAGGGGGACAGCAGCCTTTAGCTGATAAGTGTGCTCTTCAGAGGAACCTGCTGTGCGCCTTTCTCCTCGTTTCTGGTGGTGGCCACAGCCCGTGGTGTAGAGGGACATCATTCCTGTCTGTCTCCATCTTCGCCGGGTGGTCCTCCTGTAACTTGACGTCACTTGATTCCATCTTCAGAGACCCCGCCTCCACCTCAGGACACACTCACAGGCCCCAGGGGCTAGGGCTTGAACATCTCTTTTCCTGGGACATAATTCGACCCACAGCAGAAGTCAGTGGGGACATTAACAGGGATGTCAAAGGCGCCAGGTCCGTTGGAGGAAAATGAGAGAGGAAGCGGGCCCTGGTCCAGGCGCCCCAGGTGAGCAGGGCCCACAGGGAGCCGCTGCACTTCTCTGGGGCACAAGGTGTGTCAGGGGCGGGGGCGGGGATAGTTTGGGGTTTGAGGAGGTGTCCCGGAGGAGTTAGGTAAAGCAAGGATAGGGTGTGGGGGAAACTCCAGGTAGAGGCCGCAGACGGGAGGGTTTGCTGGTTTAGGAATGATAAGGTCCAGCTGTGGCTGGACAGGGGCCAGGAGCAAGCGGAGAATGGAGAGGCCGGTCTGGGCGTACTGGGCGGAGCCCTGGACACTGCCCGGTCAGACCACAGGTGGCTTTTCCAAGGGTCGTCTTGGCTGCTGTCTGCAGGGTGGATGGGGGAGGTTGAAAGGAAGCAGTGGGGTGATAGGCTGTCGTGGGATGGGGGTGAGAGGCCATGGGATGGGGCTAGAGCAGAGTTCTCCCCCTTGGCACTGTGGGCATTTATTTGGGCGGAGGGTTTGTGGTGGTGTGGGTCCTGCCATGTGCACTGTGCAGTAATTCGTGGAATCCCTAGTGGCTACATATGACATGTACTCCTTAGTATGACATCCAGAGCGGTCCCCTGGGTGGGGTGGGGACCAGCGGGCTGCAGTGTCGGTGAGGAGCTTGAGGACACAGGCTTGCTGGTGTAAGTACAGGCTGTGGAGCTGGGTCTGACGTGGGAGGTGAGGAAGAGGAAGGGAGGCGTCATGATCGCCTCCCCAGTTTTTGACTGAAGCTACTGCGTGATGGAGACCTGTAAGAAAGGGGCAAAGATGGTAGAACGTGTAGACATTGAGGCCGGGCATCTCCTGAGACCCTGCTTGAATGTTCTCTTGTCCTGGGACCTGCTGTTAGAACCTCCGCCCCCTCGCCTGGGGGAGCCTGTCCTTGTGCAGCTGAAGGTGCTGGTCCATCCCAACGTCTTGCCTCACATTCTGGACCTCTGTCCATGTGCGTTCACCTGCCATTTATAACAGGACCATCTCTAGGACCAGATTCCCATTGTCTTTTTAATTTTTTTTCCTTTATTGATTTTAGAGAGAGAGGAAAGGAGAGAGAGAGAGAGAAATATCGGTGAGAGGACATCGATTGGCCGTCTCCTGCATGCCCCCCACGGGGGATCAGGCCTACAACCTGGGCATGTGCCCTGACCGGGAATCGAACTGGTGACCTCTTGGTTCATGGGTTGATGCTCAACCACTGAGCCACACCGGCCGGACTCATTTTCTAATTATGTCTGGACAGTGTCCAGTGTCTGCCTCTTGTCCGAAGGTGGCTTAGCCACTGCTGGTGGCCACCAGTGTCCCTGCAGATGTTGTTGTCACTGTGGGGGTGCTTGGTTACGTAATACAGGGCGGTGAACTCCAGGCCCAGGCCCCCCTGAGGTTTGCCGAGTGCTCCTCTGCGGGTCTGTCCAGTCGGATGCGGGAGGCTGAAGTGATCCTAATCCCTGTGTCTGTGCCGCGCTCTCCTCCAAGCCTTTGATGCTGGTGACCTCTGACCCTCCAGCGCCGCCGTGGTGTCTGGCAGAAGCAACCATGAGAAAGCCTTCTAAGCATGGGCAGGAAACTAACCACGGAAGGTCTGTGCCCTTAGTAGCCGGGTCGTCGACGGCGACGTGTCTGCCCACACCACTGGCTTTTCTCTGGGATCTGCACATCGCAGCTGCCCCGCGAGCCCCTTCTGAGAGCCCTGCGTCTGGGGAAGGTGCGGGGATGCCAGACGGCCGCGAGCAGCCGGACTAGTCCAGGCAGAGTCTCCGCGTGAGCGGGGCGCAGGGGCTCGCGTGCCCCTCCCCTGCGGAAGGCTGTTTACACACCTGCTTGCTGCAGGTGTTGGTGGATTCTTCGCTGTTTTGAATTTCTGTGGATTGAGGCTTCTTGGTGGCAGATTGCATGAAACCACTCGTGACGTCTAAATACATGGGAAGAGGTTCCGCTTTCTGGGTGGGGAGACTCTGTATTGTTGAGATGTCAGTTCCGTCCAACTTGACCTCCACATCGGAGCCCTCTCAGTGAGAAGCCCAGCAGGTTCCTTGTGGGATGTTGACATGTGGATCCCCAGGCAGGGGTCCCAGGAGACGCAGCACAGGATTGGAGGCAGTCGGAGCAGGGGACTCGCAGGCTTGGCCGCAGGTCTCACTGTGGGGCCACAGCCCCCCAGCTGCCCAAACCCCACCCACATTAGCTCCGGAAAGAGGGGGGCCATGGATTCCTGTGGGTGGGGCGCCCAGGGCATGAGGGAGCTTTGCCGGGTCTGGAGGTTAAAGCGTGTCCCCGCTCTCCGCCCAGTTTCTCCTCTGCTTGAGGGGACGGTGGCCGCCCGTAGTCAGAGGCTCACCGGTTTCTTGTGTATAATCCTGGAGGAAGAGAG